AAAAAAAAAAAAAAAAAAGAAATTTTTGCAAGACTAATATGAATATATTTTTTTTTATGTTTCAGGTTTCAAAAAAATTAGAAAATCCGATTTACAGCCAAATAGCTTTCTTGATCCTCTGGCCAACTTTTGTAATGATATTTTCGGCTTTGAGGGCGTCCGTCAAGCTGATAATAGGAGCTTGCGTCACAAACGGCTCCTTGACTGCTGTTGGAGCCTGACTTCTCGCGGCTTGGTGGATTTTGTCTACAATCCTAACTACTTGTTCGCGACCGGTCAGTACTTCGTCCGGTGATAGTTCTCCAAATACATTGTATCGCACAGCCTTGAAAGCTATAAACGCCTTGTCATCGGCTTCATCATCAGATGACTGATTTTGCTCTTCGTCTTCATGTTCGATACTAATATCCTTCAGGCTTTCATTGCGGATGGCGCCGACATTCATGCGAAGACTTTCACCGCCTTGTTCATAGTCTAGTATAAAGCCATAGTTCTGTTCAACATCTCTGGATGATGCATTGAGTGTACTCAAAATGTACTCTCCTTGCCGAATTCCTGTTATCAAAGATAAAGCAATTCTTCTGAATTGCACCACCTTCTCTAGATGATAGTTAAAGCTGCAGATGTAAACAGCTTTCTCTGTCAACAGTACCACCTTTTCTTCGAACGACTTGGTGTTCAATTTGTTGGGTTCTGAAGGCGAGAGTAACGTCCAGCCGTCCATCATATGTTCTCCATCAGGGATGACAATAGCCGAACTGACTTGTACTGTAGGGTATGACATTAGTTATCCGGTTTGAATAATGAAAGTAATCCACATCCCTTTTTCTTACCTGCATTCGCTCTAACTTGCACCCATCGTTTATCGTTACCAGGTTCAGCCGACATCAGCGTGCTTGCTGTCACATGTCTGAAAATTTCAACTTTGTGGTAACCTAGAGAGACGATTTAGTACTTTTTCTTTTCCTCGTATCAACTTATCGCCGCCAATAGTGTACCTAGCACGTAGTCCACCGTAGCCTGTCTCCAAAAATCTCTAATGGTATTATGATACATGCGCGTCAGGGAATTGGATGCGTCATTCATCATGCCAGTAACATTCCGTTTTCCTGTGCGAGTGAAGTCGCCTTTTAGGGCACTTGTACCAGCATACTCTCTAGATATGCTATCTCCATTATTGGCCCAAACTAATGAAAAGTTAGGATCAAGTTGTATCTGTCAATACTTATGCAAAGGTACTTACCATTGTTAAATACAGTTTCGAACTTGGGGTAAAATCGGAAGCCTTGATCGGGGTATTCGCTAATACCAAATCTCATCAGAATGGTATTCATAATGCTTCTGGCAAATGCACTTTGGACAACATTAGTGCGATCCAAACAGTCCATGCAGTTCTAGATTGACGATACATTAAGTTTCTCGATCCGTCAGTCTCAAAACAGCGCTTTCATAGCGATATGCTTACCGTTCGGAAAACCCCATTTTGCTTGCTCAATACAGTACTGTTGTTTGTTTGCCAGAAATAGCTGGATCAACAAAATTTGTACGTTAAACAGCCATCCTGGGCAAAATCTTCACAATGGTGAAAGTAGAAAAACATACCCCATTTTTGAAAAATCTTCAGTGAGCTGTGAGTTCAGTTTGGCGATATTTTCAAACTTCATGCCTTTTGTTTCACGATGAAAATCAAACTCCACATATCTAGATTCGCAAGTGTTAACGAGGGTCAAAACTATTGCAGCTTGGTTTTCGCTATACATACTTTATGTTTGGGTCCGCCATCTTCTCAACAAGTCGTCTGTATTCCGCACCAACAATCGATTCCCGGCCAGCTAACTCAGCCAAATTGACAATGATTTGGCGCCCATAAACGCGTTTTTGTTTGTCAAAATGAAGTTCGATGGCCTTTTCGTTTTCTGCTTCGGGTCGATCTAGGACAGGAATTGGGTGTAGACTATACGGGGACTGGCTCCAATACAGTGGTACTAGAAAGAAAATGGAGTTCATTATTCATATTCAAAAGAAACTCTAAACCTCAGTGCAATGAGTACATACTGGATCCACGAGTTTGAACAAATGAAGCCGTGTGCGTTTCGTCGTCCCTTTCAAACAAAACAATTTCTTCCGTTTCCACGAAGTTAGCGACATCGCCAGCTTCGTTGATACCTCGGCGTTGGTATCGCATTCCTTAAGGAACACCATAAATATTAGTGAAAAAAGAAATGACGGAATCGGCGGGGCATGTTTATAAAATAAAAACACATACCAGCTCTCTCACGGCTTCTACGGGATATCAGAATGAAGGTGAAATCGAACCCTTCCATCTCACATCCTTCTATCTGAACAGCGCCTTGCATTATGGGTACGATCCAATCATCAAGCTGACATCATAACAAAGAGTTAGCTAGCGACCGGAGTTCCATCACAACGAAACCCAGAAGCTCACGTTCTTGGTCAAAAGAGGCTGTGACAAGTGTTCATTCCACCAAAATCGTCGGTCTACCAGCTTGTAAAGAGGAATACTGTCGATTGGTCCACGGCTGTATTTGCGTTCGAACGTGTTGGTGATGTCTGATAGAATTAAGTTAAAATCAACATACAGCCATCAACATTCATCATGACTATGAGCTTTACCAAAACTAGGTGAAAAAAAGAATGTTTGGCCAGAAAATAAAGCTTGAACTTCCTTCACCATACGCTTGTCTAATCGTACGTCATCTTCATAATCCTGAAAATCGGGTTCTGATTTTTCCACTGCTGGTGTATCGACGGCGCCATCGTATCTTGACTCGTCTGCCTCAGTATCTGAACCCACTTTGGATCTAGTTGAAAAGGTTTGTTTCATTTTGTTGAGAAATGAATGTGTTCGAGCACCTTGCAAAGATGGCCGGCCAACTGGAACTAGTCCTTTGCCTAAATTTTTGGACGAGACTGGTGGTCGCTCAACCGATGCAGTAGCAGACGTGTCAACTTCAACTTCAGGTATGTCATTATTTGAGGAAACATCGTCGCTTTCTGTATCAGTGACATCGATATCGATATCTGAGTCTGCTTTGGCGCCTTTCGCTCTATTTGCCAGTCTACGATACGAACGATGGTGATCCAGATCGAGGCAAATAACCTTGTCGATGGCATATATTGGAGAACCACTGATGTGCCCACGTAAATGAACAGATGAGATGATAACCAAGAACTTATCTCTTGCACCATTGACGATACCAAGTATACCGTAAATTTCAAACGGTCTTGCGTCTCGAGGTGGTTCGTAATAATCTATAAGCAAGCGTTAGGTTAAAACGGCCTTATTTAAGGATAAAGGTGTTCACTGCCGTTCGGTGAAGGTCTTTCCTCACCTAGGCTTTTGAATTCGCAGTCTATGAAAGTTAGTCGTAGTGCTTTGGAGTTTTGAGTAAAGACGAATGAGTCGTTCTCTATGTATAGCTTCACAACGCCAGAAGGACTACGAGCATCAGCGTCATTATCACTTCTGTGTTCGTCTGGTGATTGTGACATGGTTGAAGAAAAAGAGGATCGGTACAGTACACGACGGTTTCGGAGAGCTTTTAACTAATCCGGAATAAGTGTGCTACCGAGAGCTTTGGTCTTAATTATTATTATTTTTTGTTCTTTTGAATATGGATTGGGACGTTTATAAAGATTGTACAATTATACATTTCTATAGCATGGCATCATTTCTACAGATACGTGGTTTGGTGACTTCATTTTTCATCAGCAACGAACTCTGTGGATTCATCTGCCTTGAATTGGTTTCGATACAGAGGTGGTTCTTGACCTATTGTGTTATGGTGGTGTGAGAATTGCGCATGCCCATTAATATTACACTATTTTCATTGCATGCCTTTTTTTTTCATCATATTACGCTTCTTACCTGGTTGAGATCGCAGACACTTCCAAAATACTCCAAAAGGCTTTGAGAAATCCATGGGCCAGGACGAAACACCAGTCAGCACATCTTCGAGATGTTCATTACATCGGTGTGACTTTGGTCGTGTGCTTGGTGCATTGCTATGTTTATTAAATACAATGGTTGATTCCTTGTGCTCGTCGTTAGAGGAAGTCGTCATGGTGACTTTTGCTAGATTCCAAACTGCGAAGGAGCTGGAAACCCGTTTCTTGAAACTGACAGGCGGAGGCTTGGCCAGCCCGCCGTCCAAGACTACTTTTTTTTTTTAAGGACGAAATTTTTTTTTTTTAGGATTCAGTACTCAGCTTTTTGATCACATATACATTATGGACGTTTCGTCAGCATTAGAGGCTCATCAAAACAAGTTGTAAGTATACATCAATGTACTGTTTCTATCCGGATGTTCATTTTGGGCAAATGTTGATTGCTTTTACTTATAGCAAGTCGATCCAAGTCGAAAAGCTTGTCCCGGTTGAATTTGATCTCAACCTTCTAGCTGCCTTTGATTCAAATGCTATCGACGCACAGAAGCTAAGGTTTGTCCTTCATTTTAATGCGATATTCAGAACGATGAACTCAATAACTGATTGTTGTTTCCAAGTAGCTCTAAGAAGGAAGAGTACCTGAAGGGTTTGAACCGAGACAATGCACAATTGCTCTTCAACGAGATCTTCAAGTTGCCCGTAGAATCAACAGACGCTGGTCTTCTTGCAAAGCTTCCCTCACAAACATACATTCTTCCTCGTGAGAAACCACTCCCCAAGGAGAAGCCAATGACTCGATGGGAGAAGTTTGCAAAGACCAAGGGTATTCAAAAGCACAAGAAGGAGCGTATGGTGTTCGACGAAGCTACTGGAAAGTATACTCCTACCTGGGGTTATGCTGGTGGAAAGAAGGATACCACCAAGGATTGGTTGTTGGAGGTTCCTAGCAACGTTGATCCTATGGAGGATCAATATGCTAAGAAACGTGAAGAGAAGAAGGAGCGCGTTGATAAGAACAAGAAGCGACAAAAGAGAAACGAAGAAGAAGCATCAGCTACCAATAAGGGAATGGATCCAAGACAAGTCAAGAAGAAGCAGTTGCAGGAAGCCATTGCTGTCACTAAGCAATCAACTGCAAGTTACGGTCGATTCGACAAGAAGATTGAAGGTGAACAAAAGATGAAGGGAATGAAGCGTCAGGTAGGAATCGTCATCAAATGTACAATTAAAACTATTGAGCAATCACTAATCCATAATCATCTTTCAGTTCGCTCCCAACATCACTGATGGCAAGGTTGAAAAGCAAGCTACTTTGGATATTTTGAACAAAGTAGTTGGCAAGAATGGCGAAGTCTTGAATGTAACAAAGGCTGTACGACAACATAAGAAGGCTCGCAAGTAATCAACCACTTATCTCTAGATGTTTCCCTTTTTCCAATTTTAATCTGCACTTGTACCATAGCATCCAAAATTCAAATATAGCAAAACGTTTTGAAAGCAGTAAAACCTGGCTTACCTCCACCAATATGATATCTGCAATTATTTTATATGCTGGTTGATTTCTTTTTATAATAACTGTTACGAGACTCAAAACCATGGGTTGGGGGCAGTCAATCATTCCATCAGCTTGAAGTGAGCAACGGCGATAGTGAGAGAGAGGATAATGGTTGTTGTCACGTGATGTATCGTTTTTCACAAAAAAAAATTCGCGTTGTGTTTTATCTATTTTTTTTTTTACAAGAGACGCGTCCCACCATCTCGCTATGGCTGAATTATCCAGTGACCGCATCATCGACAACATCTTGGACTCCCAACTTGGAAGTGAAAGGGATGGAGAAGACACCGCTTCTCAGGCTGGTAAACAAATGGGAGACGTTGTTATGGACGACGAACCTACCCCTGGACCTCGACGCGTTGGCTTCGACCCAACCTCCATTTCAAAGGTGGTTGATCAGACAGCTCTGCTTGTCATGGAGAGCTTTGAGAAATTCTTAGAAAGGTATAATGATGTGAATTTTGAGAGAGCATGACAAGAACCAGTGAATTAAACCACTTTTTCTTGCAGCTATAAGGAGAACATTCCTACTCATTTGGCTAGCCAATCCAGATGGTATGGTATACCATATATGATGCAACTTGAGCAGTTACGGGATGATGAAATGCACACCGTGTATGTTGATTTCGAACATGTGCAGAAATCTGACGAAGCACTTGCTGAAGCCCTCATTGAACAATACTATCGGTAGGTCTCCCACACACGATACCCAAAACCTTCAACTTGACTTATCTAATCACCTATCTACATAGCTTCCTCCCATACCTTCGGCGGAGCGTACAAAATTTGGTTCGAAAGCACTTTCCCGAGTACCTTCATATCAACAGCTCATCTATTGATCCTATGGCTTCTGAAACCAAGCGAGAGTTTTCCGTGGCATTCTATGGATTGCCAGTCATTCACCGTATTAGAGAGCTTAAGACTGACAAAATTGGTCAGCTCATTAGCTTGAGCGGTACTGTGACTCGTACTACTGAAGTTCGACCTGAACTTGTCTATGCTACATTTACTTGCAACCTTTGCCAGAAAGTCTACCGCGATGTCGAACAGCAATTTAAATACACAGAGGTAATATCATCATCCGAACACAAGTTATGATCCATCATAGTACGAGTATTGATTCATGATTTGATAACAGCCAACAGCTTGTTATACGGACACCTGTGGTAACCGATCTGAGTGGACCCTAAACGTTGAACAATCGAAATTCTGGGATTGGCAAAAGGTCAGAATTCAGGAGAACTCTAGTGAAATCCCCACTGGAAGTATGCCAAGAACGTGAGTATTGTCCCGTAGTCTTTAGTTCATTGTACGGGTGTTTTATTCATGTTTTGAATCTAGATTGGACATCATAGTTCGCAACGAAATGGTTGAACGTGCAAAGGCCGGCGACAAATGTATCCTGACAGGTACCTTGATTGTCCTACCGGATATTGGGGCATTCAAGACACCCGGTGTCAAAGTAGAGTCTGAACGAGATTCATCCATGAGATCTAAAGAAGGCTTTGGAAGCGAAGGTGTTAGTGGTTTGAAGGCATTAGGTGTACGAGACTTGACTTACAAGTTGGCATTCTTGGCCTGCATGGTACAATCGGCTTCGTCCAGGGTAAGCGTAACTCTACAAAGTTCAACTTCATTAGTCCACATAATGACTGATTAATTCTTCGTTAAGACTTCCACTGTGAACATGCATGCTGATGATAATGGCGACGAAGATCAACAACAATTCTTGGAGAGCTTGTCTCAAGAAGAAATTGATGAATTACGTAGTATGGTCAACATGGAGCGTGGTATATACGGAAAACTGGTCAACAGCATCGCCCCTACCGTCTTTGGGCACGATACTATCAAGCGCGGTATTCTATTGCAATTGATGGGTGGTGTTCACAAGAAGACCCCTGAAGGCATGCATTTACGTGGTGACATCAACGTGTGCATTGTTGGTGATCCCAGTACAAGCAAAAGTCAGTTCTTAAAGTAAGTCCCTGCGCTTCAGTGATGATCACGATTAACACTGAGCAAGTTACGAGTCCTAATCTATTGCAAATAAGATATGTGTGCAGCTTCATGCCACGATCAGTCTATACTTCAGGAAAAGCATCTAGTGCTGCTGGTTTGACCGCTTCAGTCGTTAAAGATGAGGAAACTGGTGAATTCTCAATTGAAGCCGGTGCTCTTATGCTGGCTGATAATGGTATTTGCGCTATCGACGAGTTCGACAAGATGGATTTGAAGGATCAAGTTGCCATTCACGAAGCTATGGAACAACAAACCATCTCTATTGCCAAAGCTGGTATCCAGGCAACCTTAAATGCACGTACTAGCATCCTGGCTGCCGCTAATCCCGTAGGAGGACGATACAACAAGAAAATGACTTTGAAGGTGAGCATCTAGTGAGCGATACGTAATCTTACCTTACTTGAAGCTGATTTGCAATACTCTTTCAGCAAAACGTCAATATGTCAGCTCCTATCATGTCACGTTTCGATTTGTTCTTTGTTGTTCTGGATGACTGTAATGAAGTGACCGATTTCAACATCGCAAGACACATTGTCAGCGTTCACCGTCTAAGAGACGATTTCATCCAGCCTGAGTTTTCCACCGCACAACTTCAGCGATATATCCGTTATGCCAGAACATTCAGACCCAAGGTATGTTAAAAATTCCCAGTTACACATTAGCCTGGCAAACTTACTCATAAATGCCGTTACAGTTGACTCCGGAAGCAGCTAAAAAGCTTGCCGAATACTATCGTGATCTGCGTGCTGATGACTCTCAAGGTGTCGCTAAAAACTCGTATAGAATTACAGTCAGACAGTTGGAGAGCATGATTCGTTTGTCAGAAGCAATCGCCAGAGTTTACTGTCGAGAAGAGGTAGGTGATTTGTGGTGCTATGTACCTGATCAGCTCAGTGACACTAACTTAATTCTTGCAGATCACCGAGGCTTATGTGTCAGAAGCTTACAGCTTGCTTCAGAAGTCCATCATCCGAGTTGAACAAGACGACATTGAAATTGAAGAGTTCGACACCATGGATGGACAGCTTGATGAAATGATGTCTGCCGCTGAAGCTGTTAACAGTAACATGCAAGGTCTATCTATCAACGAGGATTCAGCTGCTGCTCATTCCGAGCAGCCCAACGGAAAGATCAGAATAGAGTGGGAACGATTTGAGCAAATTAAGCTGATGATTGCACTCAAGCTTCGAGAAGTCCAAGAACGATCAGGTACATTTTTTGCTATAGGATGTTATTTGTCATAACATAATATCTGACTAAACTTCCACATGCAGACTCGGGCATGAAGAGAAGCGAACTTGTGCTTTGGTACCTTGAGCAAAGAGAAGACGATATGGATTCTGAGGCTGACTATGAAAGAGAAAAGACTATTATTGAAAAGGTTATCAAGAAGCTAGTCAAAACGGTAAGTTCCAGCATCATTTTTTAGCTAATTGTTCAAACGTGCAATGAAACTAATGAATATCACTTCCAGGGTGAAACATTGATAGAAATTAGAGGTACTACTTACCAAGAAAACGACGAGAGTGCAATGCATGCTGGTGATGATTCAGACCCAACGATCATGCTTCATCCCAACTGCACACTTCTCGACCAATAATCTGTTTCCTTCACTACAGTTATTCCCAGTTCTCTCATTTTTATTTTCTTTCTCTATTTAAAAATCCTTACAAGTAGCCTCCTACACCCATCCTACGAGTTAGGCTTTATAAACTTAAACCTTGTATATATAAAAGAGCAAAAATCCGTAATAACTGAACCGCTTAAGAGCCGCGAGTAGTATGCAGGGGACCCACCTTGAGTACTACCGACGAACATTACATGGTAAACATCCACACGCAATGTTTGCTGGCCGTGGCTTTTCTCAAATTACTTTCTTATTTATAAACATTGTGTCTTTAATGATCATACTCATATGCTTTTTTTCTGATCAATAAGATCGTTCCTCTTCGTACGTTTATCATTGCCAACGAGGAACCATTTTATCAAATTTTTGACCCTCGGACACCGCCGCAGCAGTTGAGAATTTTGCATATTTTGGGCAGTACATACGGTGCTATTGCGTCAATTCTCGCTGGAGGGAATTTAGATTATATCCTTTACAAATCACCTTTCTCTGATTGTTTCTCTGCCTTAGAAAGCTTTGTAACAACGTATCCTAACTGTCATTGGAAATTCTTGGGTTTCATTGAGCTTCAAAGCTGAGGTTTTGCAAGTGAAAAATTCACCAATCAGCATTTGATGACGTAAGAGATATCCAAGTGGTCGCTTTGGGGTTTATTGGCGCGCTTGCAGCGTATAGACTTCTGGCTCTCTCGCAACCGATTCTGCAGTTTTCCACAGAACCGTATCCATTGGCTTCAAACCCTTTACAGTTCGACTAGACCCACACAGTACGTCTATAATCTTGTTTGTAACTACAATCATGTTGGCTACATCACCACATGGCCATCAAAATGGCCCCTTTATCAAACATTTTCGCAGCTTTACTTATTTTTCAAAATTTGAAAACCCTAGGTATCTTTACCGAGTAATTTGCTGATCATGGAAGTATGTAGTCTTTGTATACTCGAAATTGACCGCGAATTCTCTTCACATTTGCGCATGAACTCGAATTCTGACTTTTCTCTACCGCTGCATTTACAGGGAATTCTCGATTTCAGCCAGGACCTCGATGTTACCCTGCTAGATCGCGTCGTAACTTGCTTGTTCTCTGGAGGTCCCGAGGTGAGTAGAACCCTTAAATGGTTTCCCAGTGAATTGGCTATCTCCATGAACATATTGTTGACCAGAAAACATTATTCGTCCATTAGCATAAACAAGCACAGCAGGTTTTGACCCAGTTTCAAGACCACCCTGACTCTTGGCAAAGAGTTGATCAAATCCTCGAGAAATCTCAGAGTTTGAACACTAAGGTAAAATGAACTCTCATGACTGGATCAAATTTTGGCGATTGCACGCTCGTATTAAGTCTGTTTATGCATCATCAGTTCCTTGCATTGCAAGTGCTCGAGAAGTTTATACAAACCAGATGGAAGGTGCTTCCCGCTGATAATCGTAATGGTAAGAATGAAACTGATCATGTGGTCAAAACTGACATGGTACTGACAATATCCTGCACAGCAATCCGATACTTCATTGTCAATGTGATTGTGAAAGTTTCATCCGACGAAACGTCTCTTGTCCGCGAAAAGACGTATCTTAACAAACTTAATATGGTTTTAGTGCAGGTAGGCTTATTTTGGTCATCTTAGTGAGAGCATACGTGCATGCACTTACTAATCTCTGAAATCTCCAATCATAGATCTTGAAGCAAGAGTGGCCTCAAAATTGGCCGGCCTTCATTCCTGAAATCGTCGCCTCCAGCAAGACTAATTTGTCATTATGTGAAAACAACATGGCTATTCTGAAGTTACTCAGGTACTGAAATTTAAAGACTGTTTGAGTAGAAAGTGTGTTTGGATGTCTAACCTTCGTTGTTCATGTGCATAGTGAGGAAATCTTTGACTTTTCTGCTGAGCAGATGACTCAACAAAAGACAAACAACTTGAAGAACCAAATGTGTGGCGAGTTTTCAGAAATTTACCAGCTTTGCAAAGAAGTCCTTGACAGAGCACAAAAGCCCAGTTTAATCAAGGCAACCTTACAAACATTATTGCGATTCCTCAATTGGATTCCGCTCGGATTCATCTTCGAGACTGATCTCATTGAGACTCTCACCAATCGAGTACGTTATCACCCCCCTCACCTTAACCAAAATCATGTATTTACAAAAATGCTGACCTTCTTTCCCCTTAGTTCTTTGAAGTAGCAGAGTTCCGTAATGTTACTCTGAAATGCTTAACTGAGATTGGTTCTTTAGAAATCCAGGAAACGTATAACGAAAAACTTGTTGTTCTCTTCAACATCGTCATGGGCAACGTCAACACCATGATTCCTCCAAGCACTGGTGAGTAAAGCATAATAGAAAATCATCACCAATCTATATACTACAATACTCATTAACAACGTATAACCCTCACCCAGATATTGCCGCTATCTATGATGCTAGTAGTGACGATGATCAGGAGTTTATCCAAAATCTTGCCATGTTCTTAACAAGCTTCCTTGGTGCACACTTAAAGGTAATTTTCAAGACCACTTGTTGGAAGATATAAAGAATCACTTCAATGCTAACTTCCTACCCTTTCAGACCATTGAACAAGCAGGAAATCACGAACTTCTAATCAATGCTCATTTCTATGTTATCAAAATCTCTCGAGTACCCGACAGAGAAATCTGGAAGATCTGTTTGGAGTACTGGTCAAAACTTGTCTTGGAACTTTACGAAGAAGTCCAAGCACTTCCAATCATGGACACTCCGGTTCTCAACCTTGGAGGAGCTGGAGCACCAGTCAACAATTACAACTTGCGCAAACATTTATATGCCGACATTCTCTCCAACTTGCGACTAGTCATGATTGAACGTATGGTCAAGCCCGAAGAAGTGCTGATCGTTGAAAACGATGAAGGAGAAATCGTTCGTGAATTCGTCAGAGAGAGCGATACAATTACATTATACAAGGCAATGCGCGAAGCCTTGGTATACCTTACTCATTTAGATGTCATCGATACTGAGGAAATCATGAAGACCAAGCTAGCACGGCAGATGGATGGCAGCGAATGGTCATGGAATAACCTGAATCAGCTCTGCTGGGCGATTGGTTCCATTTCTGGTGCTATGAGCGAGGAGACAGAAAAGCGCTTCCTTGTCACCGTCATCAAGGATTTGTTGACTTTGACAGAAATGAAGAGAGGAAAGGACAACAAGGCCGTTGTTGCTTCAAATATCATGTACATTGTCGGTCAATACCCAAGATTCCTCAAAGCTCATTGGAAGTTTTTGAAGACTGTTGTCAACAAGCTATTCGAGTTCATGCACGAAACTCACGAAGGTGTTCAAGACATGGCATGCGACACTTTTATCAAAATTGCTCAAAAGTGCAAGCGACATTTCGTTCTCCAACAAGCTGGCGAAGCCATGCCATTTATTGATGAGATTTTAGAAACAATCGACAAGATTACTCGTGATCTATCTCCACAACAAGTAAGTTTCGCTCCCTATCCTTATATGCAAAGTTTTATCATACGCATACTCACCTTTATGTGTGTTGTTACCAGATACACACCTTTTATGAAGCTGTTGGGTACATGATTTCAGCGCAACCTGTAAAGCAGACGCAAGAGAGACTCATCGTCAAGTTTATGGAGATGCCCAATCGTGCCTGGGATGATATAATGCAACAAGCTCGATCCAATGGCGACGTCCTTAACAATCCAGAAAACATCAAAATCTTAGGCAACGTTCTCAAAACCAATGTAGCTGCCTGCTCATCTATTGGGCAAGGCTACTTTGTTCAATTAGGCAAGATCTACTTTGATCTAATGGGTCTGTATAAGGCTGTCAGCGAGTTGGTTTCAAATACCGTAGCTCAACAAGGTATGTTATCCAAAGCCTAGAAGTAGTACCTGTAACATATTAACTGATGTATGCACTCTTTTTCAGGCGTGATTGCTGCTAAAACACCCAAGGTTCGCGGTCTCCGAACTATCAAGAAGGAAGTTCTGAAGTTGATCGATACCTACGTTAAAGTTGCGGACGATATCCAGGCCGTTAAGGATAATATGATACCGCCGTTGTTTGAAGCTGTTCTCAGTGACTACAAGGCCAACATTGACGTTGCCAGGGATGCCGAAGTTCTTAATGTCATGACTACCATTGTCAAGAGACTTGGAGTAAGTTAACTGAACTGCCTTATTCACCACAGTGTCCATTTGTGACCGTCACTTACCATCTGTTTGACTGTTTCTATTTGCAGGGCATGCTCACAAACGATATCCCTACGATACTCGAGTATACCTTTGAGCCAACCTTGAATATGATCAATAAGGACTTTTCAGAGTACCCCGAACATCGTGCAGGCTTTTATAATCTATTGCGAGAAATCAACCTGCAATGTTTCCCAGCTCTCATTCCCATGCTTCCTAAAGTTCAGTTCAAGCTTATTGTGGATAGTATTGTTTGGGGCTTCAAGCACACTATGCGTGAGATTGCCGACCTTGGACTCCAAATCTGCCTAGAGCTTCTTGGCAACTTCAGCAAGACCGACGTTGACATTGCTAGTGAATTCTATCGCCGATACTACTTGAGTATACTGCAGGATGTCTTCTTCGTTCTCACTGATACTGACCATAAGAGTGGTGAGTACATAGTGTGAAGTGATGAATTTGGGAAGCTACCGCAGCACTAACGATATTTTATTTTTCAGGCTTCAAATACCAGACAGAGGTCCTTGCACGACTCTTTCAACTTGTCCAAGATGGCGAAATCCACACACCGCTGTATGATCCAAGCAGTGTCCCAGACCCAGCCATCTCGAATGCAGTCTTCTTGCGCGAATATGTCACCAACTTGCTTCGAAACGCATTCCCACATTTGCAAGCGTATGTATTACAACTTTTTCGCGTTTCCAGACATTGCTTAACCCATTTCTAACGCACTTTTTGTTACATAGCAATCAAATCAGCGTGTTTGTTATGGGCATGTTCCAGTATAACAATGAACCTCTCAAGTTCAAGCAGGATGTTCGTGACTTCTTGATCGAACTGAAAGAGTTCGCTGGAGATACGTCAGACTTGTTCTTGGCTGAACGAGAAGCGGCACAGGAATTGCTTAGGAATGAGGAACGAGAAAAGTTGTTGGCAGTTCCAGGATTGGTTAAGCCCAGTGAGCTTCCTGATAACAACATGGAGGACTAGAATAAGGTTCTCTTCAACTCTATAAAGAAGAAATTATTCATAGCGCCCATTCTTTTCTTCAAACAATTTTCATTTTCCTTATTACGCTTCTTTCTCTGTCACTCATACACAAATGTTTTCTTATACATGAGCTTATACGGGTCATCCCACTAAAAAATATTTTCTTAAAATTCAAAGTAGCCTTTCGGGTGTGAGAAAAAGAGGTTTTGGAACTTGTAGCCCAAACGTCGGCGGCATTTCATTTTCAAATGCAAAAAAGGCAACCAGAATTTTCAGCCATTGGTTCAAAATTCAAACCAGACTTCTCTCTTTACCCTCACTTCTCTTCTTTCTTCTTATATTCATTATGGACAGCGATATGATACGATTATACTTTCGGTACTCCCACGATCCTGATCAGATGGTGTCGCTTGAAGTACCATCGGAAATACTAGTGGACGATATACGACCGATTCTCCATGACATGGAGGGTCTGGAGTGTTCTATCAGTCAAGTGATTATCTTTAGCCCAGACGGAGAGCATATTGACCATGATGCAACCGTACATGATGTTATATCCGAAATATACGATCATGGAGATTCCTTACAACTAGAGCCTTTATTTATCAAAATACTGGATATCGATGAAATGGCTGATCATGGGGATAATATGTGGAAGATCTCCTCTCGAATCAATAAACTTCATATCAAGTAAGTAGTGCGACCATGGCAACTGAGATTGCGCAAAAACTTACACAGTACACCCTCTTTCTATTTTTAAAGCCCTAACCGACGACCAAACTATCGCCGGAAGAAAAAGAGCAAGCCCCTTCGTGAGCGAGTCTTACGCAAAACCATAGCTAACAAGTCCAGTCAATTTTGACGTGGAACTGATGATTCATGTAACATAGCATTCTGTATTACCACAAATGAGAATGAACTCTCATTATATATTCCACAACCTCATATAAGCCAACAATCCATTAGAACGTATTTCTTTTTTCTGATTTCAAACATAAAAGTAAAAAAAGAAAAAAAGTCATGCCATTGACTTTGGGTATGAAGTTGGCAGCTGACAGTGACTTTTGCAGCCATTTTGCTGCCCGAAGCCAATTCAAACGCCGTAGCTGTGACTCTCAAACCATGACGTTTTGGTCAGTGATTGCAAAGGCTGTTGGCCGCTTCGTTTCAATCAAGGGCAAGAAAAGGAGACATCTCATCTAGAGAATTTATTTCTGTCTTGGTATAACCGTTGTTGGTTTAGCGTCATCTTTCATCGCAGAAAAGCCCATTAGTACTTCCTTAGGACACCCTTGGCAGGGAGAGACATAGCAACATTATCTTCAGTCTGGCAGCGCGCATTAATATAACCGTAATATAATAGCTTTTACTTTTGTTTCGATCTACTTCTATACTCTCTGACACAATATGTTTCACGACCTGTCAGTATCCTTTTGGCCAAATGCGTATTGTGTATGCCAGAGCTGGATAAATAGAGATTAAAGTAGTAGTGCTGCGTACTTTCACAAGACCTCACTAGGAATTGAACAGGTTATCAATGTGTGGATGTGGCTCAAACCACTGGCGGCAAAAATTGATACGTGTTTGGGTAGTGGGTGGGGGGTGATGACGTGCAGATGATTTTTTGGATACCGCTCCCAGCCAATGAAGTGCTGGATTTCTTATACGCGAACCCATTCAAAGCGTCATGGTGAAGACAACAATGGTGGCTAGGGTGTCCGATGGACTACCACTTGCAGCAAGCATGGACGATGAACAGGTATGCTTCAGTGCATTCGGATGATGGATAGACTTATCGACTTTTCTTCGCGGGAAAACTTCACCGAATGGGAACAACCCGAATCGAATCACCAATCGTGGCATTTATCAATAGATCAAGGGGGCGGTCTAGATCGATACCGACGAAAGATACGATATGGCACGATGTCCCATTCTGTAGATACTACGCCGTAACAGAGATTATGCACGGCATCGTTTATATCAACGTCAAGTCCGAATACCAACTTACTCACCTTTTCCCCATCTGTGCAGTCCGAGACCGAGCTCTCTGAATACAAAGGACAAGCTAAAACCATCTTCCGACGACTCAATCTTAATTCTGAACCAAGGTGCTCCATTGAATCTGGCAACTACATATTCCAGTAAGTGGATAAGTGTGCAATGCATTCTGGGCTTCTCATATACTAAGTAAGTCGCTGCATTAGCTACATCATCGAAAATGGTGTGTGTTATCTTTGTATTTGCGAAAAGTCATATCCACGAAAACTAGCCTTCAGCTACCTTGAAGAACTTGCCAAAGAATTCAATCTCAGCTATGGCAACGAGGTGGACAAGCCTGGTCTTCGACCATATGCATTCGTAAAGTTTGGTAAGTGTTCAGCGCTTTTTATGGGTGATCATCGCACGCAAACTGATTTAAATGGGATGTGTGGCGAAATGCAGATACGTTTATGCAAAAGACAAAGAGAATATACCAGGATACCCGGACGCAACATAATTTGACCAAGCTCAATGAAGACTTGCAAGACGTGACTCGAATTATGACCAAAAATATGGAAGATCTTTTGTGGCGCGGCGACAGTCTTGACCGTAAGTGATTGTTTTTAGCAAGTGAAAATGCTTTTCACCAGCGGCTAATCAAAAATGTATTCAGGTATGAGCCATATTTCCGGGGAGTTGAAGGATAGTGCTAAATTGTTTAAGGACAAGGCACGCGATTTAAATTTGCAGGCATTGTATCGTAAATACGGGCCACCTGCCATTGTGATTCTCATTCTTTTGTTCGTGATTTACATTCGCTACTATTTGTTTTAGACACACACACACACACCCTTTCTCATATAATAAACTCTCTAGCTCCTGAATATGATACTTCCCCCTTAAGGTACCACACTCAGATGGAACTAACGTCAAGAGCGGCCAGCGAAGCGGGGAAGGTATTCCGATATTTCAATTGGAAAGTCTTGCAACGACGTAATGGGTGGAGAACCAAAGAACATCTTTTCATTGGTCCGGTTCGAAGTCTCAGCTATTGAAACACTCTGAGTGTGATTGAGTTGTCAGTCACGGGCAAATTTTGTCTTGACACAAAAACTTTTTTGCCATATCCTGCCGTCGGCGGAATATTAACAAAAAAATATTAGACTCGCTTATGCCAGAATTTGAAACCAAAACCTTTCAAAATAAACAATCTTTCGTTGAAAGAATCATGGAAAACTGAAATGATTTAAAAAAGAGTTTTGAATAATCTGATGGCTCATTGTCAAGATGAACGGAAGTAAAACGCCTCGCCTCGTTGTTGATGACTGCAGCTCAAAATCGAATGTGCCGTATTTGGTATGATTTCTGGTTACGACACAATTGGGAAAAAAAAAAAAATTAAAACTTCTATATAAGCAGCATTCAAAACCAACGGTACATCCGTTTCACCCTACTTTGTTCCAATGTCTGCCCCAAACGAAAAGCTCACTGCAGATGCGGACGCTCCAGCACGCCTAGAAGTCCCAAATTCAGGAAATGGCTCCACAGAGGACGACATTCCCGAGAGGCAACGAAGCAAATCAGTGGATATTCCTCGTCAGAAGATGATCAACCAACTCAAGTCTGAAGGTGGATTCCGTACTCATTTTGTGGTCAATCATGCTGATGATGTGCCATCAGATGAAGCTCGTCCCAATGTCAAACGTCGTCCACGTCCAATGTCCCGTGGTACCAGCTACAAGTCCTTTGTTTATAGTGTTAAATCCAACCGAAAGTCCTTGGCTCGTACTCTTTCATCCTACTCTACTTCATATAGCCATTTTGCAGGAGAGAACTGGGTGGAGGATGATGAAGTGCCTGGTCTGGCAGGTTTGACGGCCGAAGAGCTGGCTCTTAGTGAGGCTGAAAAAGCAGAAATGCGACGACCTGAGCGAACGGCATCGTTTGGAAAAGCTATGTTCATGTTTCTGAAGGCGTTCATCGGAAGTGGATTGATGTTCCTTCCCAAAGCGTAAGAATTGTTCATTTCAAGTATCAGAGGCTTCAGTATGGTTGTTCTGATTTAAATTTGCCCCCATTCACTCACTTTTTAGTTTCGAGAACGGCGGTTTGGCGTTTTCAATCTGTCTAATGGTTTTCATCGCCGCAATTTGTCTATTCGCTTTCCTTCGCCTGGTCGAGACTCAATTACAAGTCGGTGGTTCTTATGGTGACATGGGTGCTCGTCTCTGGCCCACCAGGGGTGGAAGTATTTTGCGCATCACTGTATTGTTCTTCATCTGTATCTCTCAAATGGGCTTCGTGGCATCCTACACCATTTTCATCTCTCAAAACTTGTACGACGTAGTCAATGCTCTAAGCAACTGTGCTTCTCCCATTCAAGAAAGGTATTACATCTGGATGCCGCTAGTCATTATCATACCTTTCGCTATGATTCGACGAATTGCCAAGCTTTCATTTGCTGCCATTGTGGCCGATGTCCTCATCTTATACGGCATTATCTGTGTGATCTATTTCACTAGCGACCAGCTCTATCATAATGGCGTTGGTCCTGGAATTACTCTCATTAATCCTACCAACTTTGCTCTTATGATTGGTACTGCTACCTTCTCGTTCGAAGGCATCGGTTTGGGTAAGTGCCTCTCGGAGTAAAGCGGCATCTGTTTTAGATGAGGTTCCCTTGAAAGTTTGGGTCATTAATGTCTCCTATTGTTTCATATCACACAGTTATCCCTATTGCCGAAGCTATGAAGGAACCTGAGAAATTCCCTAGGGTCGTCATCATCGGTATGGCTATTGTCACTGGCATCTATATCTTAATTGCCACCTTGGGCTACTTGGCATACGGTGAGCTTGTCCAAGCGGCCGTTATTGCCAATTTACCTCAACCCAGCAACCTTACTGCATCTGTCCAGATTTTGTATTCCCTGGCCATCATTTTGAGGTGAGTTTTTTTTTTCGGCATCTATCCATGTTAATTTGTTTATATTCCATATACTGATGGGTGGGAATAATCCTATTTTAGCGCTCCGTTCATGTTGTTCCCTGCCATCAAAATCGTGGAGAATGGAATTTTTGGTGCCCGCCGTGGACGTCATAGTCAAAAGATTAAATGGTCCAAGAATGCACTGCGACTCATTATGGCGGTCATTTGCGCAGCTGTTGCCTTCGGTATTGGTGCTGACAACTTGGACAAATTCGTTTCCTTGGTCGGTTGTGTTGCATGCGTTCCTCTTTGCTTCATTTTCCCTGGCCTCTTCCATTATAAGATCGCCCACAACGTCAGAGACAAAATATTTGATATCATCCTCATGATTTGGGGCGTTGGTATAATGATTTATACTCTATACGTCAACATCAACTCATGGGTCCATCCTGGTCCTGCTGGTGCTACTCTAGCTCCATACTGTCCTTCATAGTTGGACCGATATTGGTTACTTTTCACCTGCAGAAAAGCATAAAAATATCATAGATGGCCATTTGTAGGACGGTGCGATTTTATTATTGCATTTGTCTGCTACATGTATACCGTAATTTCTGTTTGTACACATAATTTCATGAAGATTAAAGAAATGATCAACCTTAATGCATGCATGGATAATCAGAATGTACGATGTGTCGAAACACAACTTTTTATCCCCTAGAATCGAATGTTATTAACCGCTGCCATCAAAGTCCCTTGTAATCCTATTGCGGACAATCTGAGACTGAAGTCTTCGCAATAACGGTTTCATCGGTGCGTATCTCTCCGTGGCCCGATAGTACTTTAAACTATATACACTAGCCAGCCCTAATTTTAATGCATATAGCAGCGATCTAGTGTAAGTTTACGATCACACTTATCCTACATTAATGCAGTTGCCGATGCAAGCGAGCATATGCAGTATTTGCCGATACGAAAATAAATAGTTGTAGGCATTTGCCCGTGTGTTTCAGGTACAACGCAGCAAATCACTAGCATATTTTGTTGATCTACAGAAACTTCTTTGAAGGGTTCCAAAACAAAACGTTTTATTGCATTTGAAGTCAATAATGCCTTCGTAAAATTTAAGCGGTATTCTTTTTGAATTCGGCAACAGCTGCATCTAGCATGTCTTGGCTCTGCAAAATGTCTATTAATGTCATAGACATTGCTTTAGTGGCCCGCAATGTGTCTTCATGTGCTATCTCTGTTTTTGCTGCAGCAGTGAATTCGTGTGTGTGATTCACGGCTGTGGTGTGAATACCGAAGCCTGGGTGCACTAGTGGAACTTGGTAGCTGATGTTTCCAGCATCAGTGCTACCACCGCTCATTTGCTCTTGTTCAGATTTAGGGATATAGGAAATACCGTAAGACTCCATGTACTTCGTATATCTGTCACCCATGACTGAGTTTACCAAGACGTCTAGGCAAAATCATGTTAGTGCAAGAAATTATATTACTACATTATATGTATGTAAGCCTTACCTTTAGTGACACCAACATCCTTCCAACTAAACTTGACTTTGCATCCTGTGGCAATAGCAGCAGCCTCAAAGCACTTTTCAACACGAGGTTTCAGTTCATCCAATTGAGAAATCTTCAAGGAACGAACAAAGAAGGTTGCAGAAGCGTAATCTGGAATAATGTTTGCCTGAGGAGAGCGTTAGTATGAGATAGTACCAAAAGATGCAAAGGATACTTCCAATCTGTTTCTACTTACTGCTTTACCGCCATCAGTAATGATACCGTGGATTCTATACAAATTTTAAAAGATTGGAATCAATGCCCAGCCATTTAAGCAAAGGAAAAAGAAAAAACATTGTCACTAGCGTTACTTACCTGTCAGTTGGCAAAATCTGTTGGCGAAGCATGGAAATGTTGTTCCATGTTTGGGCGATAGCATCGAGGGCATTGATACCATTCCATGGTGCAGCTAAAAGTCAGTGAAGACGAATCAATACATATGGACTAGTAGCTTGTGATCGTTTAATTCACTTACCAGCTGCGTGACTTGGCTTGCCAAAGAATTCGACGTTAACATGATCAACAGCTAACATACGATGATATACAGTGTCACCGGGACTAGTAGACCAAAATAGCATTAGTCCATGCACATCATTATAAAGATCGACAACAAATGCACTTACGATGGATGAATCATCATGCACACATCCACATTCTTTTTGAAGACATCAAGGTTGCACATGATAACCTTTCCAACAGTGATTTCTGTCATAACAAGGTGATAAGTACGCGCACCTTACTATAACAAAATAGTGTTCGTATTTCAAACTAACCTTCAGCAGGTGTACCATAGAGGATGACCTTTCCTTTGACACGACCGCTTTCCAGAGCAGCCTTGATAGCCATAGCAGCACCAACACCACTGATGGCAATCAAGTTGTGTCCACATCCTTGACCAAGACTACAAAACAAGTCAATACTTCGGTCTTATCTAGGGGCATTTGTCTACATTAAAACTCACCCTTTCAGACCGTCGTATTCTGAGCACAAACCGACTCTTCTACCAGGGCCATTGGTGAACTCAGCTGTAAATGCAGTCTCCATTCCATAGGCATGTCTGGTTACTTTGAATCCTTTGCGTTCAAGGAAATCAGTCAACAAGTCGTGAGAATGATATTCATGCATGCCTAGCTCCGGGTTTCGGTGAAGCTTTAAGGTTTCGTGATCGGGTTGAGAAATTAGGTCAGTGTAAGATAGCGATAGGAGCAAAATATCATTAGAAAGCAAATTTGACACAGGTTGGAGTATGCAAACAATGAAATGTAGATTAAAATAAAGAGAGAGAAATAGATATTAATGGCTGATCCTGTGCGTTCCATAGTTTACTACAATGAAAGTGTTGCCTTACCTCCAAACTGATCTCTCTAAGTTCGCTTGAAGCATTATCAATGGTATCGTAAATGATCTTCTCGATTTCTGTATCTGCCTTGACATCAAAATGCTCCAGAGCCTGTAATGAAGTGTTAAAAGACGATTAGAGCTGTACCTACTGACCTATATGACAGTGCGACTGAATCTTGAGATCTCTAAACTCACTTTGGTGGTAATGCATTCTTCGTAGGCCGGAAGTCTTTCAGGAACAGTATTCTTTTGCTCTAAAGTTTTGGCTTTACGAAGATTTCCAAACAATGAGGAAAAGCAGCCAGTGCTATTCTTTTTGGCAGATGAGAAACCCATAACAAAGAGGTTCTGAAAGGATAGGGAAGTAGTCGGAAGCACATTCATCCGATGGATATCCAAAATGATTTCCTTCAAGTCACGTGTATCTTCAACTGGGGGACGTGCGCTGTGGATGAAAAACGGAAGCAGGAACAGTGTGTCAACCCTTGTAGATAAATTGCATAATTCAGAAACTAATTATGCTCTCAATACCTTTGATGGACGTAGCATACGGATATTTTAGTATAAGAACATTGGCCCGAACTCTCTCGATATGGTGGTATCTCTCCGTCAAATAGTATACCGAACGGAATCATGTGATAGTAGTGGCTTGAGTTCTAAATTTTGTCATTTTTTTTAAAAGCCTTGGTCAGGTTTTACTAACGAGGGCTCAGCTATTTTCACCATGAAATTGTTCAAGTCTGTTCATACGTACGATTACCCATGGAGCTTAGTCTCTGCAGCGAACTGGCAAAAATACCCCAATGAGCACTGTTCACATGTGTATGCTGTGGATGTCCTCGACAGAAGAGTAGAGCCTGATACGGGCGTTCTCATAACGGAAAGGCTCATTACAGTGAAGCAAAATGTACCAACTATCATTCTTAAGGTAAGGATTCGAATTGTCAAGTGTAATTTCATAAATTCATACATACTCAACTTCTGTTCAAACAGCTTATGGGCACAGGATATACCCAATACGTTCGAGAGATATCCCGCATTGACCCAAAGTCAAAGACCCTGACAATGGACAGTATCAACTTGACATTATCCAGCTATATGAGCGTCGCCGAGTCTATCGAATACACAGAACATCCCTCAGAACCTGGAAAAACTCAGTTCACGCAACAGGCTGCAATTTCGGCTGGTACTAAACTTGCAAGATGGGCAAGCTTAGTCGAAGACTTTAGCGCCAAGCGCTTCCAACAAAACGCTGATATCGGTCGTGAAGGATTCAACCAAGTCCTCCAACGCTTTGTTGTGCGAGCAGAAGCATCTGCTGCCAACCAGGCTTCAGCAGCTTCATCTTAAAACACATTGGCATACCAGTGACCGGGGGTTGTACCCATGGAGCGCTTGCTGCAAGGTGCATAGCCCAGCGCGTACTTGCTTTTGTCAACACACAACAACCCGTAGCACGCAAAATACTAGACCTATACTACCACCATTAGACTACTTCAGTCCGAAAACAATTTTCCTTTGATGTTTTTCATCTGTATCATATCCTCTCACCTAAAAGTATATCATGTTTTGAAACAACCATCAGACATTAAAAGAATCAAACCAAACGTAAACAAATTGTGCCGTTTTGACATGTTAATGAAATTCTTACGTCATGTTTAAATTGGCTTACCTGTTTTCTGTGTTGGCATTCTTAGGAATAATAAGATTATCCATGGAAGTTCGATTATTACAGTAGGCTAAATAGACTTTCCGCTCCCGGCTCGATAAGAGGTTTGGCTGCTTTTGCAAAATGAGCGCTTCTCTAACTCTACCCTAACCCAGCTGGCTGTTTTGAGCCAAAGTTGCCAAAGTCTATGGGCGGTGATTTGAGTGTACTTGTCTTCGACTACCTGGCGGCGTTGGTTTTATTTTCCCTCCTCTCTCTCCATTTGATCAACAACTTTTCTGTTAGATCCGAGTTTCGTTATCATGTCTCCTCCTACTATTCTCACTTCTCAAGCATTCAACATCGGCTTGATGCTGTTTGCGATGCAAGCATCAAAGAAGATCTCTTGGGAAGATCCCGAGACGATTCAACTGGCCCGTGCAGCTTACGGTATCGCGCAGTTGGTAGCTGTTGCCATCACATATTACTTGATCATGGTGGTAAAGAAGAAGAATGGTAAGCTGTCAGATCAATTATTTTGTGGCGGATGCAACGTGGGAAGCTAACGCAGTACACACTAGATACCACCACCTTGAGATACGTTGTACCTGGCAAGCCTTCAACAAACGGACAACCCAGTGAGCCAACTGCGGTGGTGACAACCCATCGAGCATACGACATTGATCAGCTTCAGAAGGCTATTCGTTCCATCTTCACTACTGCAGTGATGTTCTCTGTAGTTCACTTTTACTTCAAGATCAATCAGCCCCTTTTACTTCAGTCCATTGTCCCCATCAAGAATGCTCTGATTTCCAAAGAGGCTTTGATCCATCTTTGGGGAGATGCGGCTGAAGGACCGTTGCAGCGTCCATTCAAGGCTGAATCACCCTTCTCCGCCTTGCTCGGTATGGCCAATGCTCCACTTGAAGATGGGGCAGACAAGAAGAAGGAACAATAATAAGAAAGGGAAGGAAATAAGAACACTCCCAATGCTGATCTTATCGTACTCTCTATTTCTGTATATTAAAAAAAACCAATTGACAATGTGGCGTTAAAGAGTACTACGTTCGAGCAACATAATGCCATCGCTGATGCAAAAACAATAAAATACAATACATCCATTAAGCAACTTACCCTCGTGGGTATTCTTTTGTCTATGATTGATCCTAAATAGATGAGCGGGGACTAGGCGGGCATTTCTGCAGATCCCAGGACTTCCATTCGTGTGCAAAAAATTAGATTCTGTAAAATCTTAGCTAAAAGTCTGTACCACACTGGTCCAACGTCTTTGTACTATGCCCATATTCTTCTCTTGTGGAGATCCCACTGATGTTCGGGAAAGCAACGGTTTTAATATATTCAAAAGTCAATAACTTCATGCTAAATGTTGGTTATAATGGCATGGTAACCGCCGTGATGAAGAAGCGTTTCTAGTTTAATTCACTCAGCGTATTTCGGGTCCCGCTTGTGTAGCAAGAAAGCTCCATGGAAAATGACCATGAGTTCAAATGGTTATTATGGAATAGATGAAATAAAAACGATGTACACTACATGCGCTAGGTATTATGGTGAATGGGATACAGGGAAACGGGGATCTTGAAGGGGGGAAGGTGCCTCTAGGATAGCGGAAGGAGAGCAGTGGTAGGTCTTGAAATGTTAGCAGGGGAAGGGGCGGGCTTAGGAGTTTTAAAACCTTAGGAATAAGCTGATGGTCGATATACTATTTAGATAGACTTGACCAAATCAGAGTCGATGCAAGAGGTTGCGTCTACGCAAAATCCATTTTCGATGGAACGTCTTAACCATATGCTTGTAACTCCTTCAATGTTTTTGGCTATTCGCTCTTCGATGTCATTGTTATAAGACTTCCCTATTGCTGTTGCAACCAGAGGTTGGATGTTTTGTGAGATTAGAGAATCGTACAAGTGTGCGTGGACGGATTCTATATTAATGTATTAGTTCACTCAGGTTGGATCCAGAGCATGGCCTCGTTCATAAAACTGCATAACTTACCTCCTATTTTCTCTACAACAGCTTGCCGAGCAACACGTATAGCATCATCGATATGCGAGATAGCTTCTTCTGATTCATTATAGGTCTGCATCAAGGCGTTGAAAATAGCTTCTTTGATTTTTAATTCTTGATCGGCCCACGTCGATTTGATGGTGCCAGAGATTCGTATGTCTAAGTCGCTCTTTTTTGAAAATGCTACGACAAATTCATTATCATGTGGAAGAAGACCGGCAAATACGTTTCGTTGAACGTTGGTAGAGAATTGGCGCAATTTGGGTTGTAACGCTAGTTGAAATTGGGAAGATATGTTTTCTGATAAATGGTACATGATGTTGGTATTCATATCATCTCGTTTTTGAATGGGAGCCGACCACACCATTGGACTTATGCTACATAAAAGTAGCATGCATATTATTTTGTATTGCATAGGGTGAAAGACTTGGGCAGTAATAGAATGAATGAGGGCCGGTCGATCAAAGAAAAGTGAGAAGGTGCTGTATCGAGAGAAAAGAAGGTCTTGTACTACAGAGTGTGCAACGAAAAATTTATAAGACGACCTATCCAATCCATCGCTGTGTCAAATTTATATGAAAGATTGGCCATCTTTCTTTTCGGTATTCAGAAAGGCCGGGACCTTTTCCCGCACCATCACATTCAAACTTTTAACTTTTCTTTGCCTATGCTCTTATTTTACATAGATAATTTTTGACTTTACCATGCCATCGTGCGGTTGGTATAACACCACGCATGAAACTGTGTTATGGTAGATTCGAAAACAATTACCTAAACACACTCCTAAAGAAGAAAGGGAAAGACGAAGAGAAACAAAAAATAGATGGTGCGAACCGGCATATTCCAAGTGTCACGCGGTTGGCTCTTTATGAAGAGTGATCACGTACAAATTAAGAAACCACCGAACAAAGACAGCAAAAGTTTCGTTGCATGAATTATACAGTGTATTTCTTCCAAGATTGCTAAATAGTACAGAAGGAGCTGCTAATGATACCGATGACCACAAGCCTAATACGTCTTTACAGTCAGTTGTTTACGAGAATTTACTGGCATTATGAACTTTTGCAACGTCCCATTCACGAACACCTTTGCTATATACAATACCATCATTCAGTGAACGATGGTTGGCGTCTGATGTCTTTTCTTTCTTGGATTTCTTGTGTTTATGCTTTCGCAACGATTCTTCTTTGCCCTTGGATTTACTCTTTTTAGATTTACTTTTTTTCTTTTTGCTATGTGCATGGCTATCGACCCAGCCATCCTCGTCAACAACCTTGCCGGTGTCTTGGCTTGGATCATAAGATTTCGAAAAATATTTGTCCATAGCCGAAGGACCTCCTGCAGTAATATTGCCTCGACCTTTAAAAGTGACAGTTTTTTCATCCTCAGAGGACTCAGAGCTTGACGAATTGTCAGGATGGGTATCAACCGACTGGTGGCGACGTGGTGATGATGTAGGTGAGCTTGATCGGTCCCGCTCGCGCCTTTCGTAGTCTTTATATGGCGATCGACTCCTAGAGCGTCTTGATCGTTTTGCTATGGATGTAGGAGACCTTGATCGGCGTCTACTTCTATCTCTTTCTTCCCGTTCAATTCGCCGTCTATTCGCTTGTGCTTGCTCTTCTGTGGCTCGAATAAGTGCTTGATTGTGACTGTCAGTTGCTTTGACGACATTCAGCAAAAACCTTTTGTTCATCTTGGGAAGTGTGCTTGGAGGACTATAGACTGGTTAGCATCTAAATCAGGACATCAAATGTGTAAAGTTGTCAAATAAGACTTACGTTCCGGAATTGGGGAGGTAGGCTTTCACACCGATGTCGTTATACTTTTTCTTATTTACTTGAGCTTCACGGAGAAGTATATCAGCAACATATTTATCAAGATCTTCATCGGCGACTTTGCTAGTATCTCCTCCTGCAGCAGCTCGCACCAAATCGCTTACTGCTGAGGAGAAGATTGATTTCGGCTGCTTGGACATGGAGGTCAACAGTATTGGCAGTCACCTGTTCCAAAGACACCATTATGAACAGAGCACGTGATCTAAATAAGGATGGATTCCACGTTCATTAGTGGAAGTGGGCACGCTAAGAAAAAGAAGCATATTATAGTAATAGCTTTGATTGAAGCTTAGAGAAAACTTTTCAACCATGTCATGTCATTGGTAATACTTTCTGTAAAGTTAGTCCTAGACACGGCACAAACCTTACGACAGGCCGTGGTATAATATGAAAATCTGTCAAGCATCAAAAGCATCGCTTTCAAAATCAAAAATGACCTACCTATTTCAAATGCATATTTTTCAACGTACATGCAAAAGCACCTTCGCTTTGTCCCTGCTACTTTAGATTCAATGTCAAGTATAGATACAACTTGAGCTATAGCGTCCGCAAATGAAAGAACCATTTCGAAAGCCTTTGCTATAAGGAGCCAGGGAGTTTTGGAATTGATAATTGGTCAACGGTGCATGTTTGTAGTGTATTTGCTTTGAATCGATGGTGTTAGGGGAGCAAGCAGGGTACATCTGGTGAAATAGTGGTTGAAACAGCGAAATTTTTGTTTCGGAACCCCATTATCTTTCTTTGTCCTGACCTGGCAAAATCACCCCGTTTTGTTCGTGTGTTTGGTTCATCCGCCTTTCCCACAAATGAGATGAACACATCACCGGCCCGTCGAGAATCAAACGCCCTATATACCGCCTCTCTTTTCATTTTGATTGCATTAACGGCTCTATGTCTAGCCGTATCAGCTGCTGATGTCATTATCCAAGCATTAGCCGACAAGAATCAATATGGACAACATGACTATCGCAATCTTTTTGTCGTCGGAGGCAGCTACGTTTTGCTTGTAAGAATTTTTTTACAAACTATCCACTATCTATATCGGAACATGTTTTTAACGATCAGAATAGGGGTTATTAGCATTCATTTTTTCATGTAGTCGACTATTCACTGTTCGAAGGTCTCTTGCGGATATCCCAAAATTGCATATCCCGATCAGCGAGTATGACTTGCCAAAGGTAACTCAGATGTTTGATTTAAAATTCATGGATCTGCAGTGTATCCGAAACAATGATAACATTAAGACATGCTTCGTGATTACAGAAAGTTCATAAAAGGATACAAGAAGGTTTTACAGATATTCGGCACATTCGGAGCTTAGCAGAGCCTAAGCCAGAAGACGTTGGTCAGCTGGGGTGGGCTAAGCCTGGATCAGAGTTTGAGGGTGTCAATTTTAAACGAGCCATTACAAGAACTTCAGGAATCATCGGTGAGACTTTTTCAGACGTTCAGTTTTGACACTGGAGATAGCCAATTTATGTATTTCATTGTACAGAAAAAGCCGCAATTGAAATGGATCAAGACTTTGTCCGTCCTGCTTATATTCCCTTTCGTCAGTATGTCGAATTTCTGTCACAGCACATCAAGGTTGATCGTTCAATTGTAGATGTCTATCTTGATGGATACGAACGGGCACGCTTTAGTCAAGATGAATTTACGGAAGCAGAATATCTTGGCATTATGGGCCACCTCGCTATCATTCTTCGAAGCATGGGATACCTCACGGACAATGATGCGGTGATTGAGGAGAGTATTGGTAGCAGAGCAGCTAGTTCACGCATTTATGCCTCTAGTGGATCATCTATGGCGGACTCTGAGGTCAAAATTCGAGGTGGTTACATCGTTCAAGACGGGTCAGACAGTGGTCTATCTGATAATGCTGAAAAACATAGTATTCTTTCTTGGGAGAGCGCACGAAGGATGAATTGAGTGATGGTGGATTAAACATCGTCATTCTCATATTGATATACCCGCATGCACATGCCACTGGAACGAAATCTGTGGACAAATCCAAAGAGTGCCATGCTTAGTTTCCATGACACTCTGTAGACTTTCTCCAACTTCTGGAAGGCAGCGCCTACAAAGAGTAGTTGAAGGAACCTCATTTTGATATATTTCTGTAGATGAAAGATGATCCCCTATTGCTGCATCTTATTATTATATAACCACTTTCGTAATATACTTTTGAAACAATGAATTTTTTCAAAGCAAGCCATTGCTCCGTCGCCCCGCCTATTCTTTTATGCCGTTGTATTCATAGGCAGTATATCTGCAGCCATGCCTATACCACACGATATCGTTTACCTTGTGTGCTCTTTTGCAATAGGCGATGATTATAGTCAATATTTGTCCATTATGCAAGTCAACCACGAATGGGCTGAAATTGCTTGCCGAATGCTGTACTGGTAAATGACTGACGTTCGTCTAGTCTGGCTTATGTAACAATCTATCGCTAATCCTTCATTGTCACAATCACACTCTGTGCCTCGTCCTTAGTAACCCGAGATTGCAAAACTATGTTGCATTTTGCGGGTTTGTACGGACAGTGACCAAGGCCAACGGAATACTACCTTATGCCGAATATGTTCGAGCACTCGATACGGCAGCCGTTAACAAATACGACCTGCGGCGCCGACTCATCAAGTTAATTGCATGTTGCCATGGCCTCATATCACTCTCCCTTGGTTACCAACCTGCATCTGTCGAACTTGACTTTTTTGCTCAAGTCAAACAACATTGCCCTCGTCTACAAACATTACAGCTCCCTGACATAGAAAAATGTATTTTTATGCAAGAATGGAACTTTTCAGGCTTCAAACGCTTGCGAACCGTTCATCTTATTGCAGCACCAATTGGCCCATCATCCATTACTAGTCTGCCCAAACGGGTCAAAGTAGTGCGACTAGAGCGGGTTGCGTTCGACAATTTGTACCTCGAACGACTCCTGAAAACGCACCCTTATATTCAAGAGATTGAAATCACCAACTGCAAAGATATATCCAAATTTCCTGGCTTAGCATATGCTTCTTCGCTGCAATCCCTCACAATCTCAGGGAGGACGATAGACGATAGTACCCTTAAGGATATATGGAGCCTTCGGCATACCTTCATAAAATGCGATTTTCGAGATACATGTATTACCGACGAGACTTTGATTGCCATCTCAAACTCTAGCGTCACTATGAACGAACTTTATCTGAACGACTGTAGTGGAATAACCATTGAAGGGGCCAGAGCTCTACTTTTGGCAACCCCACCACCTGAATTGATTGACATCACAGGCTGTATGCAAATTTCACCAGTCCAGGCTGAATACCTAGAAAACAAATCACCCAGTGGAACGAAGATAATCGCGCGAAAGAAGATGAGCTTTTTCGTCAATAACATATTTGATTGATAATTTTGACCGCAAGCTTGGCACCACCATGTAGTAACACCTAATACTCATTTTGTATGCCCAGCGGTTGGACCAGTCTATATTTAACTCGCTTGCATTTTGTACTATTTATTTGATATGCCATCCTATTGAAATGCAGAGATGTTTTGCGCAGGGGGTGTATGATTGAACAATAGTTCTGAATTGATAGATATGACATGTGCTAAACAGACCCCGTAGCTCTAACCTGTGTTTTTGAGTGAACCTGTTGATTCAAAAATGCGTAGGCAGGCTGGTGAAAAAAAAAACCCACATACGCACAGCGCCGCAATTTTGAGTGGGTAAACTATCCTGTGTTTTTGTACGTGATCTCTTGTCCTTCAACTTAATTTAGCTTTATGGGACTACCAACACCTGCATCTACTAGTGTACTTTCTCCTCCGTCTTCGAATGACAGTTCATCGCGATTACTTTTTCAAAAAAGTACGCGCCATGGTAAAATGATGAAGATATTTGGAAATTGATCCACGTCAACAACAAAGCCCCAGGTTAACCAAAGTGTAAGAGCGCGTGTTTAGCCACATCTTATTTGAACGAAGAGAGGGGCTTTGATACCCAGAACACTGGTGCAACGTTCACCTCCAATCACAAAGCTTGTCTCACGTTCAGTGCAATAAAAAAAAGAAGGTCCCAAAATACTTTTTTATATATCTTACCTGTTTGCTTTAAGCCTCGCCTAAACCTCTTTTCATACTTTCCTTTCGTTCCTACTCCTCCTACCATCATGGTCTCCTACACCCTCATCTCAACCGTCTTCGCTGCCATTGCTACAGCTGTCTCTGCCAACATGGCTCCAAGTGAACCTGCTCCAGGTACCATTTGGACCATTGGACAGTCTGGTTTAATTCAATGGGGTATGTCTTTTATTTATTAGATCGCATTCACGAACGAATCTCGACGCTTTCTGACGCCTTACTCGCTAATTTAGCCGATGACAGTACCTCTCCTGCTCTCGCAACCGACTGGAAGAAGTTCAAGATTGGTAAGAAATTTGAATGTAATATACAGGTTGTGTAACCATGTTTCTCAACTCCGGTGCTTTTTTCTGCTTGTGCTTTTTAGATTTCATGACTGGTGACAACACCAACCAGATCCTCTTGAGTAATGTTGCCACTGTAAGCTCGACGATTTCAACAGGATATAATATCTATACAAAAGTATTAAATAGGGCTTCACCCCTTACGTTCTTTCTAGGGACTTGATGGAACCGCCGCTACTACTTATAATTGGACTTGCCCCGATGTGGATGTTCACTCAGCTATCTACTTCTTCATGTTCACCAGCTGTAAGTTTATCAAGTCATTGTTCTTACAAGGCATATACTTGGCTATTAAACATTTTGTCCTTATAGTAACCAAGCCAACTGACATGGCATGGACCACCCGATTTGCTATCGTCGGCGCAGACGGTGTTCAAACTGCTCCTGCTAATTCCGCTCAACCCGACGGATCCACCTTGGACGGCAAGGCCATCCCTTGGGGAGTTGGTCACCTCGTCAACTCCGCTAATGCTTCTGCTTCTGCCGCCACCAACAGCATCATTGCCTCCACTGCCCCTGCTCTCAGCTTGAGCAGCGCTGCTCCTGCCGCCACTGATTCTGGAGCCGCCGTGAGTGCTGCTGGTTCTTCCCCAGCTGCTGCCTCTCCCTCCACCTCCCAAAAATCCAGCGCTTCCAAGGTCCTCACCACTGCAGGTCTTGGATTAGCCGCTGTCGCTGCCGTCATGATGGCTATGTAAAACTATAACCCAACAACAATACCATGCTATTGTGTTGTTTGCCACCTTGTAAGAAGTACGAAAAAACAATCAGAAAGTTGAAATATGGTCAGATCGGCCGATATCCCCCCTTCTTCCATTTCTCCCTATTACCACGAGTTTTCATTTTGAAAAAGCCGTGATTTTTTGTTTTCAACATGTTACCCTTTTTCCTTTTCGTCTCTCCACGTTCTCATCCTTCTGTTTAAATACTTAACTAGGATTTTTTCTGCCTTACAGGGTGATAGTGTACTTTCACAAACCAAGAGTAATACATTTTGATTTCAGTGAATCTGTTTTCCAAAAATAGACAAACCGCCCGAGTAGACTGTGCAGAGCCAACCCAAGCCTTTCCAGTGCTTGAATTCGTACAAGGAGTGTTTTGCCAGAAACACTGTTTTTAAGTCTATTATAAAGTTGCGCTTTGGCCGTGCGACACACAAGCTTAAAATGTCCTGGCAGTGTTTTCCGCAAAGGGAATGACGGTAATGGATTCAGAAAAGGGTCGAGACTTTTTGATGCCGAAAGTCTTGTTTTCTCTGTAAGAGAAAGTCACCAATCAGAGCATTGGAGTATTAAAGAAAACTCAAACGGAAACTTTCTACCGAGGTGGGCTTCATCCTCTCTCTACTGTTTATAGAACGCTTTTATATTTTAGGGAAAAGAGTTTTCATTTTTTGCCTCTTTTTCGCCTTCCTTTTCAACCGGACATGACACTTTCCAAGGCAGTGTTCATAACCGCCTTCATCTTTCTTGTCACTGCCTGCGCGGGAGAGCTAGCCGCTAACGTCGCTTTGAATGCTCGGGCTATTATTACCGTAACATCCACCACAACTGGCCCGGCGACGACCGTTGCCGTTACAGCACAGCCAACCTCCACAATCGCTATGACGACGCAAACTCCTAATTCCGCTCTCACCATAACCACCTCGCCATGGATATACCTTATAGCCGCTACCATCACCTGGATATTGCGATGATATGTTAGATAAGGTGGGGACGCAAATACATCAATCTTTTGTCATGCATGACGATGTCTAAAAAAATTTTAGGCAGCAGACCAATTTTATGGGAAGTAAGAATGATAACATGGTACAAGTGATTGCTATGACAGCAAGAAACGTTTTTTTGTTGTAAAAAGAAGAAAGAAAACATAAAAGTAGAAAAAGAATTATAATTTTCTAACCGTGTTGATTTAAAGCTCCATGGCATCGTTTGCGTTGGAACTGTCAACAGCCTCCTGTACCTCATTGAACATGTATTCATCCTGGTGTTCCTTGAGGAATTGGACAGATCTTTTCTCATCCAAAAACAAGGCATACACCCTCTTGATATCTTGAATGTCAACAGCAGCAGCCTAATAACCAACCCATTAGTCATAGTTATTTTAAACCCTCTAAAAAAGCACATTATCCTCTTACCTTTCTCTTCTTGGCTACCAAGTGAGCAGCGGTGATGAGATGGATAGAGTATCTAAGCGACGTTTCCATGCCAATACGAGTAAGAACCTCCTTCGCATCTTCAGTCATCTCAACATCTTCTTCCTCGCATCTAGTAGGAGAGAACAACACCATAAGTATCATAAGTCCGTCGCCAACCCCGATTGTTTGTTTTGTTTGCTTGTCCACTTACCGGATGCTAAGAATTTGTTTAACTTCTTGTTCTTCATAGGGATTGGTGGAAATGATTAGGGTACGGTCTAATAAATCGACGGGCATACCGTGGGGCGACTTGTATTTCGTGCCTCGGATAGTAGTGATACCACGGTTGGATGCCATGATGACAACGGGGGCGAGGTCGTCTTCTAATGCTCGGTTGAGGAAAGAGAAGCATTCGATATCCAGCATATGTACTTCATCAATGAACAAGACACCTGGAACAATTTCTGCCTTTCCTTCTTCTCTCCATTCGGCGATCTTGGTGTTGATCTGGTCGCGAACTTCTCCCTTAATTTCACCAGTGTCTCCAGAGAACAAGGCAAGGAAACCTTGTGTTCGACTATTTATAACATCTATTTCGTGCAAAGATACTGTGTGGACAACTTCTTTTCGCTTTTGCAATTCTCCTTCTGGGCATTGAACAAATTTGGTCTATAAGGCGAATTTTAATCTGTCAGCATATATGTGCTTATGGGATTACACTAAGTCAACCACTGCCCGCCAACACTAAAAACGAAATAAGACCTACATCAGATCCCATGGCATCATAATCGCGGGCTCGAGTGAAAGATCGTCCAAGTTTTGTGATACGGCCAGACGCCTTGTCAATTGTGATGACATCTCTATTGCAGCAAAGTTTAGCAAATCGACCAGTACATGGGTGCAAATTATGTGTATGTGGTAGATACATACCCTGCCATGACCTTCTCACGGTTGAGAGCTTCTATCATCTTGTGGCCGAGATCATAGATGGTCTCCATTTCAGTGGTTTTCAGCGTCAATTTACCGGTCTTTGAGGACTGCAATGATAAGGATGTTAGTGACTTGAAACGTTCCGTAGCATAAATTTGCATGGGCCATCACTTACTCCAGTTACAGAAGAGTCGATTTGAACTTCAACAACTTCACCTTCGATCAACTCAGACTCTTCCTTAATGCGAACACCAATTGATCTACGGAAAGCTTGTGTCAAAGCTTCAGTTTTCGACATCTCTAAAGAGAAGATTTCGGATGCTGCAAGCATTGTGAAAGGAACATCGCTTCCAAGGGCTGCGTCAAAAGAGTCATAGTCAGAACACATTGCTTTTGTTGTACATAGTGCTATTTTCCTTGCTTCACTCACCTTGTGCCATTCCTGTTTATCGATAATGCATAACGAACAATATGTTAATATCATGTTTACCTACACACTTCAACACTCGTTATATTCAATACTGACCCATAGCGATGGCTGTTTTACCGGTTGAAGGAGGACCGGCTATGAGAATTGCGCGACCTGCGATCTTTCCTTGTTGGATCATGCGAAGAATCACGCCAGCAGCTTTACGAGCCTTCAGCTGTCCTACCATTCCTTGGGAGGATTTACGTGGCTCCAATGCGTCGTCCAATCCGAGACCTCGAATGTGAGAGTGGGTACCTAGAGGAAGGCGTCAGCAATGTCGTTAGTGGATTCAACATTAGAAGAATGTGACTTACCGACTCGCTCCATGCGAAGTAAGTCTTTAGCTTCTGAGGATGTCGTAGTGATTGCCTGAGCCTAGTAAACAAGGTGTTTTAGTAAAACGTAGTCGAGCGGATAGACTATCATTGATTTACAAACATACCATTCTTATTACTATTGCGCGTTTATGTCAAAGCTACACTTTGGTAACCTCTCTCCGCTAGTAGGAATTTTTACGACTAGTGTGGCTTAGTTGCAAAGTGCAGTATCACTGCCAAAATTCAAGTCATTGAAGGGATAAAAGTTGATTTTAGTAATAAATTTTGTTTATAGTGTCGTGTCTCCAATATGAGAGGCAATAGCAGTTAAAATATAATATAAAAAACGAAAACACGTATAGCATTTTATTAGATTGTTACATGACAACATGTGAGCTCTCAATTTTTTCTAGCATTACCTAGGAACACTTTGACAGTGGTTGTTCGAATGGAAACGGACGGCCGGAGTTTCTAAGAACATCCATCACGTTTGGTTTCAGATTGCTAAAACCAGTTGCTACTTTTGTATAAAGTCGAGTGGAGTATCTAAATAAAGATCTACGAAAGTTGCCTTCAATGAAAATTTACTTTGCAGAAAATTTTTGCAAAAATACAGGCAGAAAATACTCCTGTCCTGTTCTAGTACGGTGAAATGAGGTGAAGTGAATAATATTTTAGCCCCGGTGTTTAAAGAAATAAACTCAAAAAAATTTCAAATTTAAACAGTTGTGAGCAGACTGAAGATTTGACAACATGGCTGTTAAGAGACAGTAGAAAATTTAATAGTAATATAGTGCTTACATACCGCATGGTAACACGCAAGGACAACAGCTGAGGTCCACAGAATACGTTATATCTGATATCGTCATGCGCGAAGCCTGAGCGGAAAACTCAGATTCGCTGGCCACTGACTACGCACGTATCCCAATAAAACGGAAAACTTTTCTGGCATTTCAACAGTCTGTTGAGTATTTTTGGTACAGCACTTAATGTAGAGAATTACTTTGCATTGTTTATCAGCTGAATAATTGACAGTGGTTTCATGTCGTGAGTCATGATTATGCATTGACGGGCTCAACATTAATTAATAATAGCTTGCTTCATTGTTGTAGATGCCACGACAAATGAGCCATACTGCAAAAAAAAAAAAAATGGTACTATTGCCATGAAAGTGTCAAACTGATTGAGAATTTTTTTTTTTTTTTTTGGCGGTTTTTATTTTGATCATCATCGGCAAGTTAAAAGTTTTTCAAGTATCCAAGTAGTTGATGTTACGACCTGCCTAGACTGTGTATGCTATGGATGCAAAGAGTAAGTTTGTTAAATGAATATACTACATCATATTTGATAATGTCAGCTGGCATTATCTACAGGTTATGTGTACGTTCAATTTGCAACATGAGTATATTTTTGCAAACAGATATGAACATTCAAGATTCCAAATTTTGAAAGTAAAACTGAGTGATTTTGTCAATTGTAGTGTATTTGATATAATTAGTTGATTTAGTTCTAGATATATCTATTATAGGATGCAGTCTGTACAGATGAAGGAATATTTAAAGCAGTAGTGTTTGATAAATGATAATGATAATAATGTGCTTGTTCCTTCAGGTGTGGCATGGGTGCCAATGTTTAAGCGCCAGTGCTCATGGGATCATATCCAGGGTTTCTGCTGATGGAACCGCCCATAGGGTCAACATACCCACCAACAACGTCAGGGTGATTAGTACTTCGCATAGGGTCAGCCAAGAACTTTGATAGAGATTTTGGGATAGTTGATTTCTTCACTGGTGTGACAAGATCTTCATTGGAAGCGATTGATGAGGCAGAGCTAACGGGAGCACTATTTGCAGGAGTAGAGTTCTTGTGTTTGATAGAGAAAATGTTGAAAACCATTTTTATGATTGAGAGGAGTATTAAGATGTGAACGATGAAATATGCAACACGAAAGTGATGTCCTTTATATACTTGATCCAGAGCAGGGCGAATTCGGAACCTGGAATTTTCTATTAAAGGCTGTCAAGGCACCATCATCCAATTAGGCACACGGCAAACACAAATTACAAATCAGGTTGATTTATAAGTGTTACTGCTTTTGAAATATCTGACGTGCTCTAGCAGTATACTACTTTGGATTTTATTAATTTAGTCGTCTCATCTTGTTGAACGATCAATACTCTCCCTACAAGTCTTCACATGATGCATCATCAATCTAGAGTTTTGGAGACAAAAGACGTCACAAAAGAAGGAGCTCCGAACTGAGCTCCGGTTAAAGACTCTCTTACCAAGATCAGACACAGTCTGGCCAAGACATTCCCCGACAGAATTGAAAGTTGGAGAAGGGGTGAGTTTCAGTATTTGAAAATGGTAACGTATGATTGGATTGGAGTTGAATTCAACTTCTACGCTTGAGTTTCCTTTTTAGTCAATATGTGTTGTCTTCCACGGAATTCAACGGGTCAGCTCTGGTTTATCCGGCTACTCCTTTTTTCCAGGCTTATGATCTGACATGATTGCACATCTTCGCGGATAAAGCCATTCACTTCCGTTCCTTTGCTACCAATTCCGCTTCTACGTTTTCTACCCAGGTTTCACGCATACTCATGGCTGCCAATAGCATGCCTTGCTTTCCTTAAACTCTATTTTATACATTTCTGACACACAAATTGCTATGACCACCACAAAGGTGTCGATAAAAATAATGAAAATAGAACTTCCTTATGGAACCTAAATGGTCCTCCATAGTAGCCTCTTGCCTTATCGTTTTATTGCATTTGATATTTACAATTGCGGTGATGGTTCTAAATTTGAGCAAAACGGGGATATGTCGAGACGAATTAACTACAGTGAAGCTGTTGCCAATATTGTTGTTGAGCTAATAATTATCTTCCTTTGCTTCGTTCGCATCCTTCAATCGTCTCTTCTCCTCTCGTAAGCCGAGGTATAACTGGTTGAGCTGGGACGCAACAGTGTTGGTTGTGGAGTGGACAGCAGCTCCCTTATGGAGAAAATCGCCCATGGCTGCAGTGGCTGCTTCGACAGATATAGATTTGGAGCTCTCAACGTTAAGCTTGAGTGGTGGTTCCAATGCTTTAAAGGTTGACATGTTGTCGGATTGTAGACTGAATGTAAGATTCTTCTCGCAATGCTGGCAAGTGCTTTGAAAAAAAAAAAAAAAAAAATATCAAAGAACAGTCCTATCCCAGCTTCCGCCGCCCCTCGATTGAGATTTGAAAACTCCGCTTTCTCTGATAGGATCTCCTTTGCAAAGATGATGAGCATCAATGAAGAAGGGAGTAACGAAAGTAAGCGAATTCATGCCTGGAGCTGCGTAATAATGTGTAAATCTAACTTTTGCTCAAGGTTCCCCATCCCCAAGACGCGAACCACGCACGATTATGGGGGCGACTGGAATGGATATTGGCGAATTGCAACAGAAAATATCTGATGCAGAAAAGGAGCTAGGTACTATACGGTCTCAGCTCGACAAAACAAAACAGCAAGCAAAGACGGCTGAAATCCAGGCTCAAGAAAGCGGACGGACTAACCGCAAGCTTTTGACAGAGATTCAGACACTTACTGATATGAGTAATCGCAAAGACCGTCAAGCTGAAAACGCGAAAGCGACAGCTTTCTTCTTTGAAAGTCAGTTGAAGAAGTACATGGAGGAAATAGAACATGCCCGCGCTGGCATGACTCACTTGAAAGAGATAGAAGACGAGATGGACACAGCGAAGCGAGAAGCGTTCCAAGCTCAAAAGAAGGTTGATGAAGAGTACAAGCATATGCGCGCCAAAATCAATACCCTGCAAAAGAAGTATCAAGAAGATATAATAGGACTGAAAGATGCCATCCAGTTGGCTCACGAACAGCTCGTCCTAGAAACTGAAAATTCAATCAACCTTCACGAAGAAGCAGAAAAGAGGCTTAATGATCTCGTTAAAGATCGCAACGTGGTTGATGTCGAACAAATGCAAGCCAGCTTACAAACGACACATTCGCAGGTGTTTGAGGATGTCGAAAAAGAAGTCGAGAGCTTGAAAGTTCAGTTGGAAGTATCCATGGAATCGTCTGAGTCAAGCGAACAAGTGATGACGTCCATTAAAGGAGAAATGGACAGGATTATGCGAAGGTTGCGTGCCCTTCAAGATGTCGAAAAGCACTAGCCCCATGGTAGTGCTAGCGGTTATACCCCCTCTCATTAACTCTTCGGTAGCTAATGTGAATTTTTATTTTTGTTTTTATTTATTTCAATTTTTTTGTTATCAACCTTACATTTTTACAAGCAAATAGCATCTTTTTTTGCCAAGGTACCGAATGCCGACCAAATGGGTTTGAGCAAATGACACATAGCGTTAACGTGATTCTAGTATCTCTACACACCGATCACTATTATAAATTGTTGAATTCTTTTTTGTTGCTTTTGATATGATGATGTGTACCGATACTGGTAAGATGGTGAAGGTGTTGTTTATGTGATAGTACCCTAGTATCACCAAGATGTTCGCATTCAGTTTGGTGTGATCACACCTAAATAATCTTCTTTGATAGTTCCAATTGCAAACTACAGACAGAGAAAGAAAAATCGAGATGTTTGATGAACAAGATAGCACCATTCGCTTGCTCCATCCAACGATACTTACAATTTCAGTGGCATCTATTCTTGTTCCTACTATCTTTAGTCGGACGTGAATGTCCTTTTGTATTATCTATTGGTGTGGACCATATATTAGATGATTAAGCCAAGTTGGTGTAGAAGACGGCAAGCGTCAACCAGCCTCGGACTGATTGCATGTCATACGAGTTTATCATCTCGCTGACACGCAATAGCCAAGCTGGTGACGTTCATCTTTACAAGGTCTTACCTGATCTTCTGATTGATAGCATGGAGGATTGCCGTTTGGATCAAAACGCATGTCGCTTGGTATCAACTGATGATAGAATAGCCAGTTGAGCACAGCTTTTGGAAAAAGCTTTCATTGACATTGAACTTTTGGATAACTTACATGGCTAGACACGAACACCTGGAGGGGTCCAACGTCGGCAAAAAAGCCCATCTACAAAGCGTGAATTGCATAAGTAAGTCAATTTGATGGAAGATAAAAACATTTGCCAAAAGCGCGGTATTCTGGTTGGTCTCATTTAGCGAAAAAGTGTGTTCATATCGTACCTTGTTGACGGTCGTAACGACAGCATCTACAACTTCACCCTTGAATGGCTTGAAGACAATAGCTTGGTATTTGACCTTGAACTCGGCAAGCCCGCTTCCCGGTAATATTTTGCCTTTGCCAATACTGTGTATCAGTACAACCGTAATGATATATCCAAATCGCCCGGAACACGTTCCTTCCACGTCTGCATATAATTTGCCAACCAATTGCGTCTGCATATTGGGACCAAAGAACGACGGATGCAGTGATATGGTGTGTGAAAGGTCCTTCTATTAAAGATAATTCAGTTAGATGCGTGATTGCGTCATGGGTGAAGGCTGTCAATTCATCGAAAACGCGAGCACAGGCGACTGAAAATCAATCGAATCCTTGGACTAATCACGTCTGATTAAACTGGCCAACGGTCATAACGCTATCAGACATTACCAAAAAAAACATTTTTTCTTCTTCTTTTCGTTTGTATTAAAAGTGACAGGAATGGAATGTAGGAGATCAAGGTTGTTCCCGACGTACTCGACCGGTGATGTTGTATGAAAGGGTGATTCGCGGCTAATGCAATTACTCAGTTGGCCGAGATCAGTCCAAGTGTAGTAATGCAAGATAAGGAATCGAAAGAAGTGTAATTGGCTGGCTCAATGTGCGAGAAATCTCCACAAATGATTTGTTATGTACAGATGGCCAGTTGAAGTGGGAGCAGACAGGTTTTGATGCGGAGACTGGCTTTTGTCCAAAACAAAAAACATCCAGCCAGAAAAAAATGTTACGTCAGGTGAGTTTTAATGGAAAATTAAAGCGCAATGCTGTTTGTAGTGGAGGAAAGTAACAATCTGGTCCTAAGCATGCTAGAGCTTGAAAAATTACTACTTTGTTCATTTAATAATATTCTCATGATATAGAGTAGATAAAAAAAAGGACAGTTGTTGCCGCAAACAATCTTGGTCTTTGTCAATGTTGCACCAGGTTGCGCACGCCGCCCACAGACCTGATATTGAATTAAGCGCCTGAACTTTTCTTGGAAATTTAATTTTTCACTGCTTAATGACAATGTGGAGGAGCACATCTTATTCCTCTTTCTTTCCAATTATACAAACAGTAGACTGAAGCTTTTATCATCGATCCGTTTTGCAACCCTTATCATATCATCGCATCTGTCTGAATAAGCAATTGGATAGTAGTTGTACTTATCCTCAGAGCTTTTGAGGAGCAAATAATTCAGCAAAACTTCTATGGAGGAACGGCTATCTTCGAAACATAGGAAACGCAGAGATAAAGTAGAAGAACGTTTTACTGAACCGGGCTCCAGTAAAGGCAAAGAATACCGCACTGACACATACCAGTACGCAATAAAGCGGACACCAACGCCATCCAGCCAACATGACAGCTATGGCGACGGTTTTGATATACCTACTGGAAGCAAAGTGAGCAGAACTGCATCACGTAATGGAGACGTCTGTCGGAATTGTTCTCGTCCACACAGCCGTAACGATGTTGTTCCACTTGATAAAACATGCTACGAAGATGGCTTTCGCAATACTCCAATAATGTTGCCAAAAAAAACTCCTCCAAAAATGGACAGCTTCCAAAACAAAAATCCAAATGAATTCATTTTAAAGAAGAGAGTTCGGTTTCAGCTAAATCCGTCTAAATCAACTCCTAACTTTCGACAAAAGCCAGAAAAAAATAGTCATTCTGTATCTGAGCCAAAGCACTATGGCTTGCAAAAAGACTGTCAAGCAATTCATTCTCGAAATGCTGATCGAATCTCCTTCGCTTATGAAACGTATACTGACCCACTAGTTGACAAGCCTTACTTATATATACATGAAGATGATATCCATTCACCTAATAATCCATTTGACAAAAAACAGAATGATTCACTGTCTACGCGGCGCTACAAGAGCATGTACCGTGATCTAAATAACTTGGATCTGGATTGTCAAGATGCGAATGATTTGTTCTGTTCAGATACGACAAGTGATTCGGAAAAAGACGGTGAGATAAACAGTAAAGAAACATTAATTCAACCAAGAGCAAGGAAAGAATATCCAACTCAGCAGCAGCAGCAGCAGCAGCCAAGGGGCTCAAGACGAAAAGAAATCATTGAGGTCCCCCATATGCCTTCTCGTCTTCCGCGCCCAGTCACTAAAACTTTTGAAAGTGCACGCTCACAGTCAGACTTAGATGAACACCAGCACAAACCGTTACATTCTATATCGCATAAAGGCAGGACCTTCACGAACGATGATACCAACGGAATTTTCAAAGGATACGGACCTAATTTTCATCGGTCTAACGGCTCATCGAGAAAATTTCATGAGCTTAACATTGAGAATAATCATAACAGAAGAATATGGCAACAACGAGAATGCAACAGACCAGATGGAATGATTCATATGCTCTCTAAGGAAATAATAAGTTCGGAAAGCTCTGAAGACGACGAGAACTTTTACGTTCAAAGACGGCAACAAGCGAAAAAGAAAATTTATCGAGAAAGAATTTCACCAGATAATGTTACAAAAAATGTAAAGCGATACGTCCTTGACCTGGATCGTCTTGAAAGTTCTGATGACGACGATAATATGGAATATAGAGAGCACGCTTTCACTTCTCAGCCTCCAAACAGAAATTTTGTTGGTACAGCAGTAAGAGGAAAAAAGGACGACAGAGATTTGAGTTACAAGGTATGTAACCACACTGGACTTATTAATAAGAGACTATACCTAACCCGGCAGTGTTTACAGAATAAGACAACTACCCAAAGAAAAGGTAAAAAGGAAAAAAAAAAGATAAATGAGTGATTTGAACTCTAGAAATATTACTGAGCCGTTAATCCCGTTAGCTTATTATAATGCAAAACGATGGAAAGATGAAGTTCATATTCGAGACGACAATATGGAAAATGAATTTAGGGATTTTCCTGCTCAGTCGCATGCATATCTTGCTAAGAAACATAAAGAACCGGATCGCGAGCAAGCAAGACATAAAACAACTCATATTGAAAGTTCGGGAAAAATTACAAGAATGTCAAAGGCTAAACAGGATTTGGAAGAATACGAACAGCATGATCTGAATCAGCACATCGAGCCTCAACGGGAAGGAATATCCAACAGCGCTAGGATAGAAGGTCATAACAATCTTAAATTGACAAAATACGACATGATAACGCTAAAGCAGACGGAGGAAACGCATAGGATGTTTATGGAGGTTTGGCTACCATCGAGAGCGTCCAGCCGTACATACTCGAGGCTCAAGCGTTCCATTTGGGACACGCCTGCACATCTACTGGTTCTTAAACAGACACATGCCGAAGATACTGAATAGTCTTTCTCCTCCAAGAACTCAATAAAGTTGCTAGAAGTAATGTAGTCCTACAGTAGCAAGTAGCAAGTAAAACCTAATGTGCTTATTGTCAACGTTTTTCAGTAAATCAGCCTGAAGAAATCTAGTGCGCCGACGTCAGCCAGTCTGGCTTCTGGGCCTTAAATTTTCTTTTGATTTTTCCAACCAGCCACTGGTTACCGATCGATCTTTAACCTCAATGAATCACGTTGAAGACGAAGATGTTGACGACTTCCTTTACGGAGACAGTGGTGCTGATAAGAACGAAGAGCAAGATTCCATAGACAATCAACAGGAATCAGGTCAGCGTAGTTTACCGATGTTACACGTTCAATCCAAACAGCAAGCTTACTGTTCATCCGCTTAACCTTCATTTCGTTGCAGACAAAGGCAAAAAGCCCGACGAAGAAGAGGAAGACGAGTTATATGGTTTATATCGAGGAGGAGATGATAACGAGTAAGTATCAATGCTTCAACAGCAATAAAATATTCAACGTGACTAAGCCGACTATCTGCATTGTTAGGAAAGAGGATTTTATTGTCAAGTAATATATCAATCTACGCAACATTTGAAATACTATTTAAAGCTGTTTACTTACTCTTTTTAAATAGCGATGCTCAAGATCAGAGAGACGATGATGGAAACGAAGACGACCAATCAGATACCAATGACCTTGACGATAGTGACGATGTACGTTTCATCAGTATAGACATCTGCGTTTTACCGACTCCATGTACTGACATCGTTGAATTATAAGGACGTTGAAATTATATTAGACGCAGATGAATCTGAACAACCTGCAGAAGGTAGTCAAAGTAACGCGAATCAGGATGCAGCTGGCAAAAACTCTCTTGTAAATATCAAGCCAAACGCTACTGGTAAAGTGGTGGTAAGCACACAGCAAAAACAAGATGGTACGGCAAGTGCAGCGAAACCTGCAGCTGGTGGAATCGACTTAGACGCAGTTGGTCAACTTGATGGAAAGCCAATCACCGATGTGGAACTTGACTCGTTTGAGGACAAACCATGGCGAAAACCTGGTGCGGACATCACAGATTATTTCAATTATGGATTTAATGAAGCGACATGGCGTGCATACTGCAACAAGCAGAAGATACTTCGAGAAGGAAAAGGAAAGATGATGGGCAATATGGATATGCCACCGGAAATGGCCGCTATGGGGATGATGATGCCACCCATGATGGATCCTGCAATGGGTGGTATGCCACCAAATGCTATGATGGGACTCCCTATGGGTATGCCGATGAATATGCCACCTGGTGGAGGGAATCCAAATTTCCGTCCAGGTCGACCAAATGGACCACCATCCAATCAAGGTCAAGGGCAAGGAAGGAATAACAATCGGGGCTCAATGCCTATGGGACGAATTCGGGGGAGCCAAGAGAGTGGAGGCGATGACAAATCGTAAGTACATTCACTGATTTGCGTACCAACTCTACCCGATTTATTCGCAAGGTGTAGCAGTGCTTATAATAATACTCGTTGGTTACTTTTTCCCATTAGGAATCCATCGGATAACGGAGACGATTTTAATCCTGAAGAGCAGCACATGAACTTCCCTATGAACTTTCCAGGTAATTCGGGGATTTTTTCCAACCATGGCATTGCTTTATACGTCGCGTACTAATACTGTAACCCGAAGGTGCACCGCCAATGGGCATGTTTCCTCCAGATATGGGTCCTGGTGGACCAATGGGGGGAATGCCACCATTCTTCAATCCAAACATGGCTGGACCTGGTGGACAAATGGGCTTCGATGGTCCTGGTAGAGGTAATCCAATGATGATGATGCGAGGAGGAGGTCCAATGCGACCATCAAGAGGCCGAGGCTCACCTGCACCAGGCGATCATGGCAGTCCCAATAACGACCCGTAAGTGGAACTCCATATCTGACAAGCTCAGAATGACATTGTCACTAATGAAGTTCTTAATTATTTTAGACGAAAACGTGTCATCCCTCCGGATGATGACTCATATAACAAGCGACCAAGGAATCGATAGGTTGATCATTTTTGAAACGAGAATCTATAGTAACGCTGTTAAAATTGAATTTAAACAAAAAAAAAAAAAATTGTGCGGAGTTCAGCACGCGTACTTTGTCTGCCAAATTTGAGCATTTAGAATAGCTTGTTTGCTTCGTCATTATCATACTGTACAACGACTTGATCGACAAAAGCCCAATCATGTATGATGCAACCGCAAGACATGGAAATGCGAATCAGGCTTCCAAAAATCGACGAGTCCTCCAACGTCAACTTTCTGATAAAGCTCTAGCAGATATACCAACAGACTTGCTTCCCAATCGTTACAATCCTGCTGGTCAGGAGAATGCACATCCAACAAAATCATCCAAAAAACCAACGCAGCTGGCGGTTGGCCTAAAGGGTTCTATAAAGCCAACCGTTCCTGTACTAGGGAACGCTAACAACAATGGCATCAAGAAGAAGCTTCAACCTACAAAACCTCCCGAATCTCAAAAAGCAGCCACCAGTGAATCAAAGTACATTGTACCTGAAAACATATACGACAGGCGATCAGGCGAGACGTACAAAAAACTGCGATATCTAGGAGAAGTAAGTTCGCTGATTACCCTGTTCAATATGTTGACTGCATATTCACTATCGAATTCACGCTAACTAACGAGTTTTTTAAAGGGTGGTTTCGCGATTTGCTATGAAGTGGAGAATTCACGACAGCAGAGATACGCACTCAAAGTTGTGTCCAAAACCACTCTACGAGAACCAAAAATCAAAACAAAGTTCCTCGCAGAAATCAATATCCATAGATCCCTAAAACATCCAGGCATTGTCAGGTTCTATAGCTGCTTTGAAGATACACATAATGCTTATTTAGTACTTGAGGTCTGCGAGAATCACGTAAGTCCAATATTGTATTACATTGAAAAGAATACGTCCTTGAAGTATGCTTACACTTATTTGCGATTTAGACGTTAGCGAGAATGCTCAAACAGCGTCAACGACTTTCAGAACCAGAAACACGATATTATCTCATTCAATTACTCGACATTTGCCGATTTATGCACGACAACAAAGTGATTCATCGAGATATCAAAGCTAACAACATTCTTCTGGACTACAAAATGGATGCAAAACTTGTAGATTTCGGTTTAGCTGCACTGTTAGTGAGTGCTGAGGAGAGAAAACGGTATTGTACTAAAGCTTTTCGTTGGAATGGCATAATGACATAGTGTCTTACTTTCTGGCCGCCAATCATAGAACCATTTGTGGAACTCCTAATTACATGGCTCCTGAGATTCTTTATGGAAGAAACGGCCACAACCAGCAAGTAGACATTTGGTCTTTGGGTATTCTTTGGTACGTACCATGAATTTTGAATACTAGCCTCAACATGAATTGCATTAATTTGGTTACGTTGTATAGCTACACCATGCTTGTCGGAACTCCTCCCTTTCATGAATCGTCACACGACGCTATCTACCAGTACGTTTAATTTTGTTACATCAATATCATAATTTCATTTGCACCACTGACTATCACCTTCTTTTGCAGAAAAATTAGAAACAATCAAATCATGCAAGCTTATACCTTTCCTGATAATATAAAATTATCAGATAATGCCAAAGACGTTATCACCTCCTTACTAGTAAATGACCCAGGTACGCGGAATTCTTCGATTCAAGTTAGGTTCATGTAAATCTGATCGTGGCTAAAATATACTGAATCATCGCCATTGGCTTGCTCGCAGAAAAAAGGCCCACCATTAAGCAGCTACTTGAATTTCCGTTCTTTCGACAAGACTTTCTACCTGCTGCAATACCAGTTTGCGCTTTGCAAAGAGCACCGACTGAGCTAGACTATTCTCGAAACCAAGCTGCTTCGAATTTTTTAGCGTCACCAGATAATGCTGCAGCTGCACTGGAACGAGCAAAACAGCAAAGTGACATCTATGCTCACAAATCGCAAACGCCACTTGAAAACTTGGAATTACTCTCAGGTAAATTTTCGCGATCTAGGCAGGCGCGTATGATCCTTCAAATGCAAACAAAGTTTTCTCTATCACAGAGCGCTTACCGGACCCTCGAGAAATGATGAAATCAAAGCAGCCATCCAGAAGTAGCTGGAACATTTCAGGTGTTCCTGGTGCCATTTTGGATGACACAGAACGACATACAAAGAGGCAAGTACATCCTTTATGGCTCATGACGTTGCTTATATGCATTTCGAAACGTCTTTCCAAGATACATTGTAAATTAAACGTATATCCGGCTATTGCAGACCGAGGACACAGTATCTGGATACATTTGGTGTCGCCCAGGGCAATGTAGCATCCAAAGTGCAGTCGTTCGAAAGTCAAAGTGACGAACACGCCAGTCCTAACCAGTCTAGAAAGCTTGTTTCACCAGTTCAGAACAAATCATCACTAGAGGAATCGCCATCAGGGCATCCATTACTCAAACCATCTGTATCAGCCAAAGTAACGCCAAAGGGTCAAACTCGCGTATCGAAACCCAAAAGACAGGAAACCGATAGTATTTTATCCCGTTTACGTCAAATGACTCCTCCTCCAGCACAACAATCCCCAAAGTACAATTCCAATACTTCTGGTGAAAGGGTAGCACTAGATGATACATTAGGTATGTATGAAATTCTGGCCATCATGTCACATATTATATAATTCTAACCACATTGAACGCACAGGAATGGTGGATTTGCTTGAAAATGATGCGGAACATAACATTCAATGCATTTATGAAGCGCTTGATAGCTTGCTGTCGTCAAAGCAGCTGATCAGATCCACCTCACGCAGCCGAAAGAAGGTGGACGAAGAGAAAATTCTGTCAACCGTCGTTTTTATAGATCGTTGGGTCGACTTTACCGCAAAGTATGGGCTTGGGTATTGTCTTAGCGATGGGTCAAATGGCATATACTTCAATGATGCTACCACTTTAGTCAGCAAATCAAATTCAAAGTAAGAAATGCTACCATGGATGAATTGACATTTTTAAAGCGCTACAGACTCTGACATTGTTACCCTACAGATCCGTAGCTTACATTGTACATTCTCAAGAGACCGAACCTAAACCGGAAGAATTTTCAACGGATCATTATCCAGATCACCTTCGAAAAAAAATGAACCTTCTTCCATATTTCCAAAATTACATGCATGACAAGTTAGCTTCGATTGCCAATGACTTACCAACGAGTCTGAAGCGCGCCTCACGACAGTCCACTTTTCTTGAAAGTTATATGGAAACTGAACGTGCTTTGGTTTTCAGATTAAGCAACAATGTTATTCAAGTAAGTTGATTCTCGAAATACCTATGATTCATTTCCCATTACTTATCTTATTTCTCACCATCCCAGATCAACTTCTTGGATCATACTAAGCTTATTTTGTTTGATAACGCGGCGTCACTAATATATGTCAATGCAGCCAGAAAATGGAGCGTTCATTCTCTGGTTATGAGAGACCTGGATGAAGACATTATCTCTAGACTAGAGTTTGCAAGAGAAGCTTTACAACCGGAAAACCGGGCATCTCTGATTAACCAGAACTGTTAATTCTCAAGCACTTGCTTTTCACGTCCATAACAGTCCATTCATTGTATCCTGCTCCGTCTATTCGCCTTTGTACATTTTCCTGAGCTCGTCGCAAAGCTAAAAATTGCTCTGATTTTTCTAAATACACCTATCTTGTTTATATTCTACTATCTTCAGTACTCGAGTGATCGGTTTCATTATATTTGAACTGGGGTTTAGCACTATAATTTATTCATGAGATGTAGCTTTTTAGTCTTCACCGACTGGCACTTCCTCTTCCAAGAATCGAATAAGCTTGACTCGAAGTTCTGTTGTCTCATCTCCTCGTACTGTGTCTGTTATGAAAGTTGCTTCAACTTGCATTTGCACCATTTCTAATGCTCCTCTCAGAACGCCACACAGGATGTTCGAGTACCACAGTCCACCTTCAACAGCATCGTCAGGCAGCTCGACAAACTCTGCCAACGGGTTTTCCTCCAGCAGGAGAGAAAATTCTTTGAAATCTGGTGTCCAGTTGGTAATATTAGGTGTTATATTCAAGAACATTTTGAATCCAACCTGTGAAGAGCATGCGAAACGAAACGTCAATAAAGGCAAGCAGGTTATCAGGCAAATTGGTCCTGGGAGAGACTCATTTCGCTTACCTTGGATATAACGTCAGCCGTCTCTCTAAACTCTGTACACCGTCCGATGTTTGATCTCGCCAAAAAATCTTCTATAAGTCTCTGGCCAATGTTGTAGCCCCTAAAATCAAGCTATCTGGTTACTGAACAGTCGTCTAATATCAAGCCGAAATGGGTGTCTGTTCAACTACATACATCTTATCAAGCTGCTTGTTCACCTCTGCATAATCTTCGTAATCTTTTATCAATTGTACAACGAGAGATCCATATGTGAGCGTGAAAAGTTCGGCATTCTGTTGGAGATTTCAGTTAGATTCAGTGGTTATAGAAAGTAGTCATCCTGTGCAAAGCGTCGTATAACTTGGTTTGCCATCTCAAACTGTATAGAGCACATTCCATTCCAAACTTACAATCTTTTCAACTTTGTTTTTCCAAACATCTTCTCCGAGTGCTTTATACTGCTTTGCGGCCGTTGAGGAAGACATGGTGTGATTGTGTGGTGAAGTGCTGAGATCGTACCTGCTGTTCGTTCACCCCGCCCGCGACTCAAGATTTTCTGTGTGAAAATTTGATACTCCGTTCGGGGTTTGCAAACAGGAAGGCAGAATAATGACACTTTTACGTTCCTTAAAATCGCATTACGAACAAAATATGAAAGAGAAGTAGTATGAAAGATTTCTTTGATCGTTATAGTATGGAAATATACAGCTAATAGATATAAATGGATTATATTCACTATTTTCAATGTTTGGAAGTCTTGCAAAATATACATCAACCGGGAGTTGTCGAAACTTCGCATTGTCAGCGGGAAACCAATTGAAATAGAACCTTCTTCCATTATTGTATGACTGGACTAGTAGTTCCGAGCTTCAAAAGGTGCCCAAAGCTGGTATAAATATCAGGCTTCATGACTCTCCATGACATTTGCGTTGCTGACACACGGCAATTATTATACTGCGTCGTTTCGCCAATCAGTCACATTTCAGAAATCCCAGATATCTACCAGTCATTTACAACATCGATCATAAAATTTGAACTTAATGCTATTTCCAATTAGACATAAGGAGTTATTAACTGTATAAAGATCGTGATACAATCACCGTCGTAATATAGTGACTAATGGCCAGCCACCGTAACCTGTACGCATCATATGTCACAGAATATGGATCAATTTCGTTAGGTTTATCCCATAACCTGGCCATAAACGTTGCTGAACCCTTGAGTATTCCTGTTGGTTGTTTCAGCAAAATTTCCACTTCTACCGATAGCTTCGGAGGAGATTCCTGTTCTTCTGGACAAAAATTCTTGAATGCCTTTCATTGATACTAATCTTGTGTATACAAAAGAAAAGATGGCGGTAGCGAGCGTGACAATACCCAATTCGGCATATCCCCAATTACGAACTTGATCTGTCGTAGCTGGACTGGTGATTAAGCAGATTTTCACTACAAAGTTCAACATGAGTGTAACTCCCCAGACAGCTGTCAACACCCGCATATCACGTCGAAAGGAAGGTATGTTATGGTATAGGTACATGAGCTTTGCCTTTTTGCTTTTATGGTGTGGGGTCTGATTATCATATTCTGGAAACGTTTGTCTCTCGTTTTGAGTGGTCTCTTCTTCGTCGTATCCATCTCGTGGCATTACTTGTTGGGCTATCTGAAATGTTAGTGGACGTAGATGATGTCGCCCGTATTGAAAGGGTAGAAGAGACACTAGGCAAAACAGTCCAACAAGCAGTGGTGTGATAGAGTCTCCTAGTAACTGCCAGCGTTCATCAGGTTGCGCGATAGACTGATTGTGGATGATTTTTAAATGTCACTCAAGCAAAAATTATTTGGGGTACACAAGTGTCAAAAAATCTTACCAATAGACCAGAAATGAAGAAGCTAACGCCCATTACAAATCCTAAAGGGTCTGGTGTCCTCGTTTTCCACATTCTCCTAACAAATATCGATGACAATCAATCAGATAGAGTAAATTGTGGTATTGATACATGGTCTACACTTACCAAACGACAATCGCTAAAGGCGGTAAAGAGGCCACAATCATACCTGCAATTTGACCAATTCTTGGCCTTAGAAGGTGGTATAACAAGATAGGAAGTCCAATGCTCCATAACACAGCGAGAATAAAGTTGAGAATTGGCCTGCCCATGACAAACTTGAAGTACATGACGTCTTGCATGTCGCCCATGCTCATTGGGCCGTCAGGATTCTGCTCACCCAACTCATTGACATCTCTTCCTTGAATGACATTCGGGTGTTGTTGTTGGTCGCTATTAACTAGTTCAGCGCTATCCTCCTTTAGCTGGGTATTTTTAGAGCCAAATATTGATGGCCATGCTGCTGGCATACTTTCTGCTGAAGGATAAGCCTCTGCCAAGGAGTTCGGACGAAGAAATTGTCATCGATGATTGTTTGGTTCGGAATGGGTTTTACCGAAAGTTCATTCGGTCATTTGAACTGCCATGAATGGTATTCCTCTCGGCTGCCAAATTTTTCAGCTTCCCTTTGCATCAATCGTTTCAATCGCTCAGTTTAACATGGTATGAGAATATGCTGAATTACGCATCCATAGCGTGAAAAAAGGTGTACCACATCTTCACGTCCACAATGCTTCAATAGCAAAAACTTAGTTTGGCTGGATTAATTTATTGACATCTCGGCTAAACGTGTGATATCATAAAAAACTCTGCCACATTATAAGAATGATTGAAATCGATCGTGTACCAAGTAAATAAGATGAAGTGCAAGGAAAGCTATTAAGCGTTTGTCAAATTTGTACAGGTCTGAATATGTTTGCCGCTGTAAATATCATGTCTAAACCGAGTTGAATGATTATAGAAGTGGGGTTGAAACGAAGAGATTCATTTCATCTTTCATCTATATTACGAAATACGACGAGGATGATAAATGCTCCTTGATTATTAAAAACGAGAACGATAACGCTGAACGGATTTTTGCTGGCAGAAAATTTATGGGCTATTAGACGTAGCGCGGCAGTTGAGAGCTGACATTATTTTTCAAAGTCAGAACTCCAACAAAGGCACAGCTGCTCTCTTCCTCATAATGGCTCATGTTCAATGGAGGCAGTTTGCCTTCTTCGATAGGAGTCCCGTCACCGACTCGAGCGATCAGTCGAAACCGCCAGAAGCATTTCAGGTTTGATAACTTTTAGTACTGAACCATCAGGCTAAGGGAGGATGCTAACGTTCGACTTCAGCAATCAAACACGACGGTGTTCACCAGCGGTCGCGGCCACATAATCTTGGCAGATATCCTTTTCATCAGCGTAGTAGATAGCTGCAGTGACAAAACCCTTATATCATAGCATTGGCACAATGTCCTTGACATGACCTCTTTGAATCTAACACATTCGACAGGCTTTGTACACTTAATAGATAGAGAGTTCAACACAAGGTCATTTTTGGCTTATGACGGTGGCCGGGTTACACATTTGAAACAGCTGAAGCAAAGCAATGTCATAATAACCGTTGGAGTAAGTTTAATATGCATTTTATTGTTACTTTTCCACATCATTTTACATGTATTTCTTATACGTTGTTAATTGTCTATAGGAACACGACCAAAGCAATCAGCCACCAGTGATTAAGTTTTGGGATTTCGAGAAAGTGGATTTGAATAAGAAGACAGAAGATGGCATAATAGCTCCTTCCTGTACACGAACGATAAAGATACAGCATGGTGGAATGGTCTATCCCGTGAGTACTTGCGTAAAGAGCATACACGGTATATTGTTCAATAGTTAAACGTTGGATCTTTACTAGGTTTCTACTTTTGCTGTGCTTGAGAACTTGACGCAGATCGCAGTTGGTCTCGCTAATGGAACTGTAATATTGATTAGAGGAGATTTACAAAAAGAGAGAACTACGAAGCAAAAGGTGATCCATGAAGGTTCGGAGCCTATCACTGGTACGTAGTTGGTTCTTCTGCCGTGACTTCAATGCAACGTAGAATGATTTTAACATAACGTTTTCAAAGGTTTGGGATTCCGTGAACAAACGAAGTCCATCATTTTGTTCATGGTTACCACCAGCAGCGTCATGACTTACAACACCACTGCGACCAAACCTACAACTGTAAGCGAGAAATGCATCGTAGTACTAAAACCCACTGGTTATTTGGTTAATTTCTGTTTTGTTGTTAGACCACACTGGACGATCAAGGGTGCGGTTTAGGGTGTGCAGTTATGAGTGACTCCCAAGACATGATTCTTGGTCGGGACGAGGTAATATTTCAATCTAAGAGAATAACCCATGTTATGGAAGTTTATTACCATGCTGATGTACCCTACCTTAGGCTATTTATCAATACGACTCAACTGGAAGAGGTCCTTGCTTTGCATACGAATCACCTAAAACCTCTCTTACCTGGTTCAAGTCTACATATCTCATCATAACATCTCCTCCTTTGTCCTCAACTGTTCCCAGCTATCGTCCTGGCTCTGCTCGAACGGCAAACATTAACTTCCAGCCTCAGCCAGGACAACAAACTAGCTCAAGTGATCTTACACGATTGACAATTTTTGACACTGCCAACAAATTTGTTGCGTTTAAGGATAGCTTCATAGGAGGTATTCGTGGTGTTGTATGTGAATGGGGATCCATTTGGATCTTTGGTCTTGACAACAAGGTACGTGCTCACAAATTGTGTGTAGTAGCAATGAGTAACTGAGCCTTATTTATTTTCAATCATAAGATTTATCGTCTGGATGAAAAGGATACCCCTAGTAAATTGGAGATCTTGTTCAAGCAGAATCTCTATGTCCTTGCAATTAACTTGGCGCACATGCAAAAATATGACGACGCCAGTATTGTTGAGATTTTCAAGAAGTATGGAGATCATCTCTATATCAAAGGCGATTATGACGGTGCTATGGAACAGTATCTGAGGACTATAGGCAAACTTGAGCCATCATATGTCATTCGAAAGGTTGGATATTCAGGAGCTTGTATATAGATATATCGTCTGTGCGGTTTTACTAACAACTGCATTTTGCATTTCAGTTTTTGGATGCACAGCGAATATATAACCTTACGTCGTATCTTCAAGATCTTCATTCTAGAGGCCTTGCAAATGCGGATCACACAACCCTATTGCTAAACTGTTATACCAAATTGAAGGACGTTGCGCGTCTGGATGAGTTTATCAAGGTTTGTACACTGTGCTGGGTAGACTTACATCCATCTCCCGCTAACGGCTTTCACCTTTAAAGAATGATGCAGATCTGACTTTTGACTTGGAAACGGCCATTACTGTGTGTCGCCAGGCTGGCTACTATGAGTATGCGGTATACTTGGCAGAGCGATTTGAAGAACATGATCTGTAAGCATTTTGGACAACATGACATGATGATTCATCAAGACATATATTCATACACTTCGTTTAGGTACTTGAATATCATGCTCTTGGATATGCATAATTACAATTCTGCCTTGGCCTATATTGCAAAACTTGGTCCGAAAGAGGTAAACATTTCAAACCTTAAAGGCTTAGAGATAGAAGCATAGTACTAAAAAAAATGTTCCTTATGTGCTGTAGGCGGAGAGAAATTTGCAGAAATACGCAAAGGTTCTGTTGAAGCATCTTCCGCAGCAAACAACACGTCTCCTTATCAGATTATGTACAGGAACAATGCCACCTGCAACGGCTATGTCTCCTCCGCCTCTACCTCTGCGTCCAACTTCCCCAACATCTTCTATTAGGAATACGGCGTCAGCCCTTCAAGCTTTGTCAATGCTTCCGTTTGCTGGCGGGACATTGGACGATGCAGCCTCAGGAAAGCACCAGCCTGTAGCCGCTGTTAAAAGATCAGAAAAGATTCCCAAGCACATTTTTGAAAGCTATGCGCCACCATCGGCCCAAACTTTCATGCCGGCGTTTGTTGATCATCCCGATTATCTCGTACAATTTTTAGAGGAGGTTTACGAACAACGTACTGCTTCGTTAAGAGAAAAAGTCACTATCAGCGAGGTTGCTTCTGTGAAGAGTTACCCGGTCAAGGAAGAGCCCGCTGCTGAACCCAGCTCGAGCGATGTTGAAGAACAAAAAGTGCTATGGACTGCCTTGCTTGAATTATATCTGATGGATGAACGGCCAATCGACACCAGTTTGGATGACGATGATTCAAGCACTCCTAAAGAATTTCCAACCACACCTCCACTTACCAGTGATGTTGACCTCAGTGAACAAGAAATAGCTCGCAGGAGGGTACTGCGGTCCAAAGCATTAGCTTTACTCAAAGATCAAGCAGTTGACTATGACGCCAATCAGGCACTTGTCCTTTGCCACTTGAAACAATTTGACGAAGGAGTGGTCTATTTATACCAAAAGATGGAAATGTACAGTGACATTGTCCGTTTCTGGATGGAAAAAGAAGAAACTGATAAAGTTATTGAATGCGCCAGAAAATACGGGTAATTGAAGGAGACTTGGATAACGATCTCAATAACATTATGACATTCTGCTCACATTATTTCTATTGGTATAGTCCAAAGGACGCTTCTCTATACCCCATGGTATTAACATATTTCTCTTCGGCTCCCGACACGCTGAAAAAATCGACGTCGGAACTACTCTCTGTGTTGGATCACATTGATGCACAAGACTTACTCCCACCTCTGCAAGTCATCAAGGCTCTCAGCCATAACGATGTCGCCTCTTTGTCACTGATCAAAAACTATATGGGACGAAAGATTGAAAAGGAACGCAAGGAGATGGAAAGAGTACTGTATTTGATAACCTACTTAAAGTGTCTATACATAGCGTTTTTACTGACGTTCTCGTTCTAATTTCACAATAGGATCATGCTCTGATCAAGAACTACAGGGATGAGACAGAAGCACGACGCGAAGAAATTGATGATTTGCAATCCAGGTCAGGAAAAAGTCTAGTGGAAAGGACTTCCCATTTTACCATCACATCACTCAATCTTTCATCTTCATTACAGTGCGCGCGTGTTCCAAGTTACAAAGTGCTCTGGATGCGGCGGAATGCTTGAACTTCCTACCGTTCATTTCCTTTGCAGACATTCTTATCATCTTCGGTATGTGCAAATCCGTCATGTACTTTGCTCACTTATATTCTTGATGTTCAAAAATACTGATGTATATCTATCGCAGCTGCGTAGCGGAAAATGAGAAAGAGTGTCCACAATGTGCAGTGCAACACAGAATGATATCGGAGATGCGTCGAACCCAAGAAGCAAATGCTGATAGACATGATCTATTTTATGCTCAGGTACGTCAAGCAGTAGCGAGTGTTAGATTTACCAAAACGTTGGCAAGTATTAATCCTGTTACCACTCCAGTTGGAAGATGCAGAAGATGGATTTTCCGTCATCGCAGATTACTTTTCCAAGAACACAATGGCTTTTGCCAAACTTATTGATTAGGGTAGAAATAATGGTATAATACAATTATCGTTTGAAGAGCGGATCACGTCCCAAATGGTTCCTGTTGCATGCTTTCATACAGCTAATTATCTTTTTTTTGAGCCATAAGCAACATAATTCATTTTCCACGATAATAATGCTTACTTAGCCAATCAATATAACCCAAAGCTTTCGCGTAGTAATACGATTTTCCTCGTTATGAAAATGGATAATGGTGGTCACTGAGTTGAAAAGGCGCAACAATGAAAAACTCGATATCTTTGCTTGGTTGCGTCTCTCAAATTCAAGGTCGCATGCATGTCAGCAGCCAACAACATAATTCTTATAGATTTTCACCGTAGCCTTAATGACACTATCCATGCCGGACATGGTAAGTTTCGTTTTTGTTGTAAATGGCGCGATTAGTGACAGGAAGAAATAGATCCTACTCGGGAATGAGCTATTTCTTGCGCCAGACACGCTGACCTTCACCCATTTCACAAAGGTGCAACGTCTGTGTGGAAAAATCTTAGTCAAAGCGTGCTACGGTACTATGCAGCGTCACTCGCAACAAAAAGAGTTGAATCTCGGGTAATGTGCTCCGTCATGACCTAGTTTCCAGTAAACCCAAGTACTTATCACCCCGACCGCTTACAGCCTTCTATCCAATTGGTGAGCAACGAAGGACGTAACAAGCTGAATAATCATGAGGGTGGAGGCGGAAGGAACCCCTTGGAGGCTATGAGGACTACTCTCTCTTCGATGAGTTGTCCCAACGTTTATTCTATCCAGGATAGGTTGCCTTCTGCAATAGAGCAGCTGATCATCGAGATAGCCGACCAGGACGACGAGGAAGTCCATGCGAAAATAATGTTCTTCGTACTAGCAAAGCGAAATGACGAGAAGGGATTCGAATTTTACGATGAGAAAGATGAAATCCCATCACCAAAGCTGGATATACGGGCTGTTCTCTATAAAGTCATGAGAAGCATAAGAACGTCCAATATCGCGTATGTGTATCTGACAATCAAAAGGCTGAGTTCGGCTTTATATGTACGTCTAACAAGTTCTCTCTCATCAGAAATATCAACTTTGAACTTATAAGACTGTTTCCTGGAAATGCGCCGAACGACCTGACTGAACAGTCAGAAGAGAAAGTAAGGATGTCTTTAGGTATTTTGGTCGCATACAGAGTGACTAAATTATGCTGCAGTTACTACCGAATCTATCTGTGTCTGCAATCAACTTGTCCATCTCTGATGGGACTTTAGACCAGGCTCTTAGAGATCGATCTGTCAAATCGTTTGACCTGAGCAACTTGGATATCACCTTCAACGGAAGTGACGCCTCATCATCTATGGAGAGCACAGGTGCTGCCCGTTTTTTGTTTGCACATCAAAATGAGCATCTTGATGATGAAAGTTGGGGAAACTCCATTCAGCTTGATCATGTCATGACCGTTAGGAAGCATGGCTTAGGTAAGTAACATTAGTTATCTACAACTCGGCAGCGCATGTGCCCAAAAAAAAAAGCTCAATCACTAATGAATCTGATAGACCTACCACTGTGCCGCTGTCTCCACCCTGTAGTGACAGATGTAAGTCATTTCTTTCTTTAATTGAGAACGCAGAGAGCGAGGATGCACAACTTACATCTTACATTGTAGGATATCGGATTTGAAACTAGCTCGCTATATTCATCTCTATCTGATAAATCTACTATTCTCTTACACGATAGGAAAGAAGGGAGCAAGGCATATTACTATACCCACGCACTTACACAATACGGCAGTATGTATTAGCCCTCTGTCTGAAACTTGCGTATATTTCAAGCTTCTAGTTAACCTGACAGCTTTCAGCGAGTGCTTTTCTTTTATGCTTCAATAGAACTCCGGATAAAGAATTCGAGCAAGCTAAAGAGCAAGCTCTAGAGTTAGTGGAGGTCAAAGTGGAGGGATGGAGCAACCCGTCACGAATGGATAAAAAAGCCAGCCAAACGAATTTCGTACGTTACAAATACTTTACATGACTTCAGAACGATAATTGCTAACCATCATTTTAGCTCTTTTCCAAAGAAATGCTTGTTAGCAATAACATTGATAGCCTAAATGATATCAAGTCGCTTGTCAATATCAATCCTAACAGATACGACATGCCCCCAGCTGATTTCGCTATACTACCAGGTAGTCATAAAGCCAAGACGACAGAAAGGATAGAACGATCATCACGTTGGTGGTTGTCCATGGCCGATAGTTTCAGTCGTGAAATGGTCTCACACCATGAGGTCAGCCCACTTCAAAACTATGGAGATGCATTCAAGGTGGAGAAGGTAAAACAAGCGGTTATCAAATATAGTTTCCATTTGCCAATTGCACTAATAGGTACTTGATAGAATTTGAATGGCGATATACTGAAACAGATCCGACAAGAGCTAGTAAGCCCAGGAACGACATCGAAATTTCCTAAGGGAGCGCTGGATTTGGTAAAACCAAGCCTATTATTTTGAGTCGACGTCCTGAATGTAAATCTTAACGGTGTACGTGTGTGCATTAGGTTTTCGCACAGTTGACAGCTGCCGCAAGTAGAGGAGAGCACGGTCAACTATTCACAAAGCAATTGACAAATCATGATGTCAGGTATTGTGGTTGATCTTCCTATAACGAAGGATTGAATATGAAGCTTGACGTTTTTCTTTTATATTCAGAGATCTGGCCAAAAAGATAATCGTTGGGTTGGACATTGCTTGCAAGAGATTTGCTAACGCTGCAGATGGTGCTTCAGAGGTAAGCAAACACTCGTTCAAAAGCGAACATCGAGATCTAGTTAATAGCATACTGATAAGCAAATTTGGAAATAGCTATGTGTACAGATTAAAAAATATATAAAGGACTACCAAGGCACTGTGTATGCTAGCAGAAAGGAAGATATCGATACGAAAACAAAGGATGAAGCTGGTTCTGTGGATACTGCGTGGACACAAATCAACAAATATCAAAACATGACTTTGCGGGAAAAAGAGGAAGCGACTGCGCCAGACAGTCCAATGGACATCAAAACAAAAGGTGAACCCTTACCTTTTGCTCATCAACTTCCCATTGGTGTCACAGCAAGTCGAGGTAGAGGACGAGATAGCCCACGCGGAAGAGGAGGAGGAACAGCTTTCAATCCTAACTTCCGTGGTAAGCGAGGCGGTAACGACAAGTATCAAGTCGAGGCAGAATCTGCCATACCACAGTATCCAGATGTCCGAGTTGCCAAACCCTGGCTAAAGGTTAGGCGGCCTGATGGAAGACAGGCTGAGCTGAGCCAAAAGCGAAAAGATGAGCAACTAGGGGACTCAACATCGCTATTATGGACGTATTGGAAAGCGGAAGAGCGGCGTCAATTTGGAAGCGACGCTAGCAAGAGTGACGGAATGATCTGGGTCACAGATAAACGAGCGCAAGCACGTAAACGAGTACGAAAGGAATTTGATGGTCGACTTTTGGACGAATCTTCTTCGACAGGACGGCGCCAGGTTGATCATATCGATATTGTAAATATTCTGCCTTTAGAATGAAATACGTCAATAAAAATGTAGTGGAAGGTTAAAAAATTAAAAAAAA